CCACTTTTTACCTATTGTGTAATGAGTCCCATGTAATAAGGAGGAGGACCCATGCAAGGAGAAAATCCTAGTAAGTGGCAGCGTTTTTTTTTTAAAGAGTAGATGGATTTTTTGCTATACCTACAATTTCAGATTCCAGAAATAACCCCAACAATTCTCGGATTCGGGAAACCCGTGACACCTCGCCGTGATAATAACACAGTAAAAATATAGCCAGTCAGTTTCTATATAAGAAGTACCTACTCCATCTATTTGATATGTATATGCTAATAATAAACATTATGTTATTTATGAAAAACCATATTCATAAAAGTTCATGCTTCGCCTGCTAACTGCAAAGCTGAACCAATTAAGAAAATCTAAACGAAGATAGGTAAATTAAAATTATTAAACGAGAAGAACTACTTAAATTAGAAGATACACATTGTACCCAAATGGTTGCCGACAATGAATAGATTATTAAGAAGGAAAGGTACTAGTAATGTAAGCGATTTGCGTAGACACTGGTCACCTGCAGCACCAGAGGAGCCACAAATACGTTGTCCACCTTTTAAAAACCAATACGTTATTGTTTGCAGCTTTTCATGTAGGTAACTGATGTTACTGTAGATCATATTTACCTAATTGGAGTAAGTGTAAGTCTACGTACTTACACTACCAAGTACGTAGGTAGGTTACATCAAGGATGTTCAAAATTAGGAGTTGTACAATTTTATGAATGTACGAATTAAATAAATACTTATTGGTTGCAATCACAGATAATCTTTTTGTGGATTTATTTATGTAATGGAGACACTGGTCGTAATAGCTTTGAAAAATAATTTAAATGCCATTTTCTGGTTTTAAAAATAATATATTATTTATTTTTCTGTTAGCAAATGGCATTATGTTTGTTTTATGCCAGCGACATAAAATAAAGCGGACTGTGCAGGTTTTACTTAATCAAAGAATTTGATTTACTATTAATCGATACAATCTCCTTTATTTTATTTTTTTCTCTAAAAAATATTAGCCGTTATCCGCTGAAAAAATTTTGGCCGCCATATTCTAGTTTTATGAATAATTTGTTTTATTTTTCAGTAAATAATAAACATGACATTATAAATATTTTATGCCTGTAGTTGATAACAAGTTAACAACTATAGAGGCTATATTATAACAGCCTCTTCAGATTGCTAATGATAACATTTTTTTAAATATTGGCGATAAATTTTTAAATATTTTTTTTAAAAACGCCATTAAATTAATGTCCAGCAGCCATATTATATGAAAAAACCGATTTTGTAACATTATTGGCTTGATACTTTCAAATCTATGCATGCGAGTTTAAAATCTCGATGTTTTATTTTATTAATACTTAAGTTTTCCGTGCTCATGCCTGTAATAAGCTTTGAGGACCTATCTTTCTCCAACAATGAAATCTTTGAAACCTACAACCACAATGTATACCAGCGCTATAGTGTGAAATGACACTAATAGCACCTTACCTATGAATTATCCACTTAATAAATACAGCCAGCAATGTCCAACTTGATTAATATTCAGCTTTAAATGACTGGCTTGTCAACACTTGGCACCATATAGAGTATCGAAATTACTCCGCTTTGGTATCACACCTAGAAATCTTTACTATTTGCATTTAACTCGCTGTTAACTCGCATACAAAATAATTTAGATCTTTGTCGTTGAACTTTAACAGTCCATTGCCCATTGGTGTAGTTTTAATCAGTAAGATCTCATGACATAATTGTGTGGTAATATCTATTTATTTAATCTGTGCAAATGAATTAAATGGCAACCTTGGACCAAAAGTTTATCGATAAACAAGTAACGACACTGCATCGTAGTTTAGCGGTTTTTTTTATTTGAATGTTGAATGGTACAAAAACATTTTTTTGACATAAATAAATCAGAAAGATCCAAATAGGAGGTAGATAAATATTTTATACGCAAATAGGCATTATAGGTACTTGATAATATTGGCACCATCGATGTTTTTTTGGTCGATCAATATTTTTAAAAGTGTGCTTCCATATTTATTTATTTGAAGTGTGGACACACCTAGGTACATAATTCAGCCAATAGATATAGCAATAAGTAGTAGCAGATTAGGTCTCATGTACCTAATTAGATAATATTTTTCTGGAATAGGTTTCAAAACACGTTTTAACAAAGTTGTATGAGGTAGGTTGACTCGTCGGGCGCCGGGACTGCCGAGAACGAGGTCTCTGGATAGAACAAAATATTAGGTATTTTGGTTATAACTTATAGGTACTATGGTTCTTTCTCGATCGAAGTTAGTTATGCATAATGTATTGCGTTTCTATATTGAAACTGCAAATAAATAAAGGAAAACCATTAAAAATATATATTCATCATAAAATACTACGAACCAATGACGACACCCACACAATACATTCCTAATTTTATTTTTAAATATTCAAAACACCGCATCGAATTACTAATGCCTACAAAATTGTACAATTTAATAACTAAATCTAAATTCAATATAAAATGTTAACGTAAATAATATTAATATTTTATAATAAACAGTAGGGCTCGTAATCGCTTGAAATACGAAGGCAAGTCATTCATTTCTCTTCAACTGGTACTCCTGACCTCAGAGGTATGAATCATACGACCTGATACTGCCGAGCCTCCTACGCATACGTAAACCGTGGACTTAAAACTATTTTACCATTGTCATTAGTTGAATTTTTTATATAATTTTAACACCGTAGTCCCTGTACTCTAGTTACTATAATATTAAAAAGTTAAATATTTTATTAACTTAACAAGGTGCTATAAAAACATTATGTGTTCAATAATAAAATTAAGTTCATTAAAACACTCCCATTTTTCTAAATTAACATTGAGAATTCGAAATCAATAAAGAAGCCACAATATCTGGATACTTAAACATGAAAGAAATCGGTCTGTACCAACGCTAACATTACGAACCTAAGCAATGGATAAAATAAAATAAAAATGTCCCTAAATAGTCTCAAGTTCCTTCTTGATGTAGCGGCAGTGTACCTCCACCGGCGCCAGACAGTTACACCATACACAGATTTCATCTCCACGTTATTTTGGCGACAATACGTGACTCCGCCATATTCGGCCGCTTTTATACTTTTCAGCGCGACTTGTGCCTTATAAAAATATTTATCTCTCTTTATGGTAGCTGTAAAGTGTCTATTGTTGTGAAAAACATGATAAAATAAACCGTATGAAGGAAAAATCTTAAGCGTATAAAAATGTCTACGGTAACTTTACTTGAGTTTCTTGTAATTATAAAACAACTAGGTAAACTAAACTATTTCTAGAAGTGAATAACGGCCTGTAGTAGAAGCCTATCTATTATTTAATAATCTAGCTACTTATCTGCCTGTGGTTGCAAAAAAAAATCTAAAACCTGCAGCGACATCTACCTCAAGGACCCAAACAAATATGTAAATTATAGAGAAACCCACATTTTATTTGGAAATTGGAATACTGAATTATAAAAGTGTATTGTTTGCACTCAGAGTTTGAGCTCACTATTGAAGTAATATTTCAGCAGGCGCTTGGTGACATGATATTAAACTAGTCGGTAGGTACTCCATAATATTAAGTTTCGTACCTATTTTGCGCTGTACAATGTGCAGGTGGACTGTAAAGTGTAAACCTCGGAATTTGAGTAAAGTGTGTTATTAAGATATTTCTGTACGGCCGAAGCAATACGTGAAACCTTATTTTTTCCATAGTAACTTTACCCAGTTTCAACTGCAAATTGGAAAAGTAGGTAGGCCAAAAGGTCAAGTAGCTACACAACAGATAAAAATAAATTGCAAGACTTGAACTTTGTTAAAATTAATTACGATACACCGTGACACAGACAATTTACGCCTAAAGCTCTTAACATCATACATGCTTCCATTTTAGGAGCGAGGAGACCGGTTGTGCCTTATACGGCATGTTTTTTGGCTTTCGAAAACATTTTCGAGATATCGAACTCCTTGGATCGCGTACTCTTTAATGAAGTAGGTACCTACTTGCATACCAAGCACTGCATTTGGCTATCAAGTCAAATGTTAAAAGTGTTAAAACATTATTGATGTTACGAGCCCTGGAACTTCTTCAGGAGTTTCGCGTTAAGATTAAGGTCTTATCACGGTTACCATCAGTGTTTTGTTTGTCGAAAGCAAGTCGAAAGTATTTTGTCCGTCTTTAACAACGATCGGACGGGAATGCAAACAACTTTTTTGAATTAACACCATCTTTATGAACTTTCCGAAAACATTGGTAAATTAACAATAATATTTTTGTTTTTTAGGTAAGTGATTTTTCAAAAACCTTTCTCTGCGGGTCATCCGAAGGTAAGAATTGGCATCGCCCATAGACATTAAACACCCGCAAGCAAAGACTACCGGAGGAGGAGTTACACAAGCGTTGCTGGCTGTTTGGGGATTTAGAATTGAGAATTAAGGAAGGATTGGAGGTAGGTATGTTTTCTATCTGCCGGTGTTCTGTGAGGTCATGGTCGTAGTATTCAGGGGCCAGCGTAGGGCTAGTGTAGGGCCAGTCGGCTTATTCGCACCGTAGCGTAGATGACTTTCCATGAGATCATGGCGTGAGCATAATGATTTTTATTAAATAAATAATTAGGTACTTATCTATAAATGTTGAGATATTTAGAGAAGCGCTTTTTATAGTGAGAAAGCAAGCAGAGAGGTAAATAAAACTTGTACAGCTAACAAAACATTTGAGTACCTACATATCATTTAAACAGAAATCATGACATTTGAAAGCTTCGTAACTTTAACTTTCAACTTTCATATAAGATATTTTATAGAAACCTTTTCAGTTTTTATTATTTTTATAAATTTATCAATCCTGATAAAAGTTTTATTGAAAAATTACTATTATGGTGAAAATCTCAATTCACAATAGGTACCAACAATACGTGCGCAAAATCTGTGGTGTAACGTAACGTCTTGCTGACACAGCTGACAGTTCTACACGCAGCTGTCATTCATAATCATAAGTCATAACTTTGTCATTCAACGTCACCTGTAGTGTATTCCATTATCAATATTTAAATAGGTCATAAATAATTAAATACTTAAATGCCTGTAATAAAACGATGAGGTGACGTGGTTCTCCCGAAATTCTAATCACTTATGCATTCCAATCACTAAGTTATACATACAATATAGGTAATATTTCAAGTTTGAACGATGGCTGGTGTTCCGGTGAAATGCGGTACGATTGTATCGTTCTGTTTCGTGCTATATGCTGTTTATTACCGTAAGAATGATCTTGGGGACGTGCGACTGTCGCCTGTGAAGGATCATTTGCTATATTTGGAGAATGAGAACAAAGTTGGTGAGGGCAAACTGCAACCGAAAGTAGCGCTTGGCTATGGCGCGTGTCACGATCTATTTGTTAACGCCACTTCATTATTGGACCACAAGGAGCTGAAAGGAAACCCTGAGCATTTCAATGAGATCTCAAACAAGGAAGAATTCCTCAAAAGTTTCGCTTATTTCTTTAAACATGGTGCAGCCGCCGAGTAAGTTATCTATAGTTTTAATTACCATCACATGTATGTTTAAAAATAAATGTAATAGTTTACACTGATAACAAAGTACAAATTGAGATAATTTAGTCACTAATGCAATTAGCATTAGGTTAAATTTATTTTGTTCTTAACTTTAATTCTTAGGTTGGCCTTTACGATAAGAAAATATTTTTCCTGTAAACATAATGTAATTAAATTATTTACATTTTCAGACGGTTTGTGTCCAATGGGAAGTTGTATGATGAATTAATAGAACAAGCTTTGAAACTGCCTGACTCAAGATGGTCTATTGGGGGCAATGCTCCACTGATGGCCAAAAGGTTCTACATAGAAGGATGGAAGGTGCTGTTTGCAGCTAAAATGAGCAACAAGTTGAAGAAATACATTCCGAAAGATATCCAGATAGTTGGTGGGGAGGAGAATGAGGAAGTCAGGGATGATGTCCACATGATTCTAGAGTATAAGACAGATGAGACATTCGGTACTCTGAAGGCGCCCAGAGCAAACAGGTACATTGTACATAACGACGAGAACAATCCACTCCTGAGTTCCCTGGAGAAGTTTGATGAACATTTACCAGGATTTGGCCCAAACTTACTAGTCATTAGTGGACTGCAGATGATGGATAACTATCCATTTAAAGTTGGAGATGGGAAAGGTACGTTGGTGTCTTTAGTGATGTACATTTTACTCGGAGTTATAGCAACTGCTCAGTAAAGTAATTAATATAATATTTTGTTGTTTACAGACTTAAGAGCGGAAAGACTGGATCTAGTCAAGAAACAAATTTTATCACAACCACTGTCTACACTGACCCACTTTGAGATGGCCAGTTATGTTGACTTGGAGCTTCTGAAACATCTCACTACCAAAATACTGCCATTTGTAGACTCAGTCGGTATGAATGAGCAAGAATTAACAAATCTATACAGTGTCCTAGAATATGGAGAAGTCAGTGTGGTTGCTGACTCCAACCCAGAGTAGCAACAGCGTTAGACCAAATGCGCAAAACATTTTTGTTGATAAGACGCCAGAATGAACTGTACGAGAGTAAGAGAAAGCTAACTCGCATCCATGTGCATACTTTAGCTTACCAAGCTATAATGACAGTTAAAAACTCTAATTGGAAGCGAACTGAGGCTGCAGCTGCTAAAGCATCACTGACTGCGCACAGATATGTGTGTAACAGTCAAGATATTGCCTTGGATAAATGTAAATTGTTACTGGATGACAGTTTCTCTACAACCACAGACAATGACAACACAAGTAGGGTGTTCTTTGAACCTACTAAACCAGTCTCCTGTTGGGATGAGGAAATAAATGGGGAGAATGTTGATATATGTGTGGCTCCTGTACTTATTTGCACTGAGGCCCAGCTCACCGCTGGTGCTGGTGACAATATCTCTGCTGCGGGCCTGGTACTTCAAGTAGAAAAATAAACATGCCATTACAATTGCCTTATTAATAGTTGTTGAATTGTTGATCAAACATTTTATTCATTCCATTTGTAAATGTGTTATGTATTTGGTGCCATTATTTCAGGATGATCTTTTAAATAAGATACTATATTTATTGCTTAATAATATGACTAGAATTTAATGATTTATTTATTGTAATATTGTTAAATTTTACCAATTTATTCAATGGACAGAAGTACATACAAGACTGGAAGATAAATTATTTATTTTACATAAAATGTATGTAATTTATTTTGTTTTGTGCTTTTAGTACTAATCAGAACTTATGATGAGCGTAAGAACAAAAATATTTTTTGTTTTACACATAATTTTTATCATTCCGAATTAAAAATAAGTTATATTTTTCTACTTTTTTTAAAATAAAATGAATAAATGTGATTTCTTGTAAAACTTGATATCCTTGCAGGTAAGATTGAGAATACAATTACTGTATAATATTTATGACATTCCTAAATTTTAATTGGCTAAGTAGAAGATCTGGATGTTAGTTGTTGTTTCAATAAAAGCCTTTTTTGATAAATGGTATTTTATTTAATTAATCAAAACTTATGTACACATTATATACATATTGTAATAGGTTACAAATAATTTATTGTAAGATAATAAGTTCAAAAGATATGGAAAATAAATTACGATCAAACTATCCCACCTTTGTAGTTCCTGATGTGACTAATATTGCAATGGGATTGTGATGGGATGCCTGACACGAGAGCATGGAATTAGTAGAAAAAAAAATTTGTTACTCCAAGGAACTTGTGACAAAGGTGAGAAACCTGGATGACTAACAAATGACAGCAATATCGTTCAGATCTAAGACTAAATTTAAATTCAAGTAGTTAAATACAGTAGTAATACATGCATATCAAGTGATATAACATACAAATACTTAATTCTAGCACACGCACATTTTCGATTAACATTACCAGAACAGGGTTTTTTATATATGGATACTAAACACTAAGATAACATTTATATTTCTACTTTTATAGTGATTTTGGCTTAAAATAACATAGGCATTATTGGTTACACAACAAAACTTTTGTGTTGGCACACAATAGAAGGCACCTCGCTAACTAATAAATAAAATAACAAAGATTTGGTCAGTGTTTACACACATGTTACTGAAACTTATACAAATAGTAACATTAGTTTCTAGACACATTAGTACAATCACAAAATGTTAATTTTTAGAAATACCTACAAACATTATTACTAATTAAAATAATGGAGTGGGTACAATCACTAGTGATACAAAGATTTGAATAACATGATTATTTCTTGAGATGTAGTACTTTATGGATATGTAAGGCTTACAACTACTTTCAAAAGTTTGCATAATCTGGTGAAATTTCCTCAAGTCTTAAGATGTTTTTATAGTTGCGTATCATACAAATCTTATTCAGTCTTGATAATTTTGAATTTAGAGAGAACATAATTTACTCGTCATTATCTTCAAACTTAGTTTTCTTATTTGTGGGTCCCTTAGCTGTGCCTTTGTATGGATCATAGAGCCCGCTCTTGATGAACCGCTTGGCTGCTTCTATGTCGACAGATGGTCTTTTCTCTCGGTCTTTAACTTCCTGCCATTTTAACATGGCAGCTTTTATTCGCTGCAATTCATCTTTAATAGGATGACTTGTAGGGTCGACGCCTTGTATCCTCAAATGGATCCAGTGCAAAGAATTCAAAGTGAATGCTAAGAACAAATCGAGTTCAATTTGTGCCGGCAATATTAATTTATCGTATTGTTCCTTAAGCGGTAACAATTGATCCAGTACCTGTTGTACTTCCATTAAATTCTCCTTGAGAGCTTCGCAATTGTTAACGAAGTTTTGATTTGTTGATAATTCGCCGTATTTCAAATCCCAATCCATGTTTGTCGATTGCAGTATTGCAATTAAATCAGATGTAAAGCTACAATTAGTACACAATCGCACAGTCTGAACTGAAATACACCACGTTTTTAGCCTAATCCAATTTATAACCTGACCCTGAATTCTCAAAATATAAATTGAAAAATTACCGAGACAAATTGACAGTAGTGAAAGATGTCTGTCAATGTCAAAATTGAATGAACCAGACACTGTAGTTTACATTAAATAACATGTTTTACCACGATTTACAAGGTTATCATGCTTGAAATGACAAAAAACACCAACGTGATGGAACGCAACGTTAGAAATGAGAGAAAGAAAACCCCACACTAAGGATGTTATTTAATATCCTTGCCCCACACTAACTAAAAAACCCATAAAAAACCATAGGTACACAAGAGGAATATAGACATTGGCATTGGCCATATTGAAGCCAAAGAGAATATGATAGTCAGAGACAAACTTGTGTGTCGTGGCGCCGTGGTCACCTGGGGTAGGTACCTATATAAATTACGTTCTATAGCTATAAAGCTGCAGGCATCGATCGGTGGCAACTGGCAAGCATTTGGCGACACGAAACCACACAATATGCCATGATACCTCTATGTTTATAGATGCTTCTTTAATATAGAAACTGTTTAACCTTAGAGAATCTATATGGTTAAACAAGTGGGCCGGCTCTTGCGTTGTGTTTCGTAGTGTGAGTGAGGTTAACGGAGGCCCAGTTCCATTCGGGTATCCATTGGCGGCGCCGATAGCTTACCATCAGGTGATTCGTATGCTCGTTTACAGGCTTATGCTTATGCCATAAAAAAACATAAATGTAAGCACGTTGAAATTGAAACCAATAAAGCGTTACGACATGCTACCCTATCTTACTAATATTATCTTTATAATTATAATTCTGCTGTACGTGTGTATGTCATTGAACTCCTCCTAAACGGCTTGACCGATTTAAATGAATTTTTCTGTATGCGTTTGAGTGGAGCCCTAGATGGTTTAGATTCACAAATCAGCCCAGCAGATGGCGCTGCAGTCGTGTACTAGGATATATTCTAAACAATAATGTCGCGGAGAACCTAACGGGTTACCGGGGCTCCGGCTCGACGTGCAGGAGAAGAAACGGGGTGGTTTTTAGTCAGTAGTCAGAAAGAGTCTGACACTCCCTCCCGCCACACTTAGGCGGGAGCAGTGATTAGATGATTTTCCCCCTTTAAAAAAAAACTCTTTCGTTTCATACATATGCAGGACGTCTGTCGGGTCCGCTAGTAAAATTATAAATGTGAAAGTTTGGGAGCATGTTTGTTCCTCAATCACGTCACAACGGCTGAAGGCTGAATATGGTCTGGAATAACACATAGGCTTCTTTATCCCACGAGAACGCGTAAGAAACCGTTGGCAGGAGCTATTTAAAATAAACTGTATGTAATCGAGTTGTAATTTTTATGTATGGTCTCATTGTACAAAGGTATCGTACCGTAGGTAAAAAATAGGCAACGAAGGTAGGACACACAGAGGCCACCCCTGTTTGGCAATTGAAAAAAAGAAAGAGCATTTGAATTTTGCCCTCTCTTTATTGTTATTAAACCTGTGTTTGCAATTAATTATGCAAAAGAATTTGTTCTTGTGGTTAATGCAACCATCCATGTATTTATCGTACATTGCAACATATTTTCATAACTTTAAATTATCATACCTATTTGTTTTTCTTCACTGCTAATCACTGAAGAAAAACAAAAATGCTTGACTAGATGACCTGGGAATCAAACCTGAGACTACTTGCTCACTTGAGAAATTTAGAACCACTCAACAAAGGAACTAGGAAAGAGGTAGGTTATTATACTACCTACTTATTGTTCATCCATTACAGTTACTTTATTCTTTGGGCTTCATACTTTTTATTGTGAAAGTGTTTACATTAATACTAATTTTATAAAAATAAAAAACCAATTATTTCATTAGGTACATTTATTTATTCGTGAAACACAATAATAATTTCCTGTTAGTAGTAATCATGTACTTCAACATTTTAATCTAGATCATAACTTGTTCAATATATTGAAATGTTTAATTATCGTCCTATTACTATAGAGCATCATCATGAGATGAATTAGCTGAAGAGACAATATCAATCATCCAAGTACTCAAATGGTTCTGGGGGCTCTGGCTCCTTTTCTTCCTCTGTCTTTGGGCCAAATGCGGCCACAGGCTCGACCAGAACTTGTTCTCCATCACCGGAGTGGTTTAACATGACAATACCACCAATAGTAACGTCTTTCAATGGGGTAAACCCTGTACCCTCTACAGGAGTCAAGTTCTTTAATTGCTGCCTCATTACCCTCGCAGGGTTGTTCAAGATTTCAAAGGTTGGCTCTGGCTCTTTCTTTTCCTTTGTCTCCTTTTCTTCACCTTCCTTCTCCTCCTTCTTGACTTCCTTGGAAGAGCCAGCAGTGGCAGCATCCTTTTCCGATTTTCCATGGACTGTTATGTTAGGATTTGGTGATTTTGATGGCTTTTTCTCTTCTTCATCAACATCCATTTTAGATGTGGAGGAAGAAGTCATGCTGCTTGCAGAGCCCTCAGTTCCGTGTGCTCGCCTGCGAGCTTTGGCTGCGGCAATACTTAAAACAGCAGTGGTAACTCTCTCTCTTTCCTCTCGTTTCTTTTCTTCCAAAGGAGCCGGGTAAGCATAGAGGGAAGGTTTTGAGTTCGATTTAAAGTCCATCTGGGGCATCTTCAAATCAGAATTGAGAGCAATCAGACAAGTAGGGGTGAAAGCTAAGGATAGGCAGTGAGCCAGAGGGAACCAGTACCAATACTGGGTGAAGACTAACATGCCGACCACAGCAAGCATGTTCATATGACCAGTCCTGTTTTGTAGAGATACCGTTACGTTGCGGCCACCAGCATCGATTATGCCTTGAGCCAAGATAGCTCCGAATTTAGCCATCACATCTTCATGTTTGTTAGAGATTACTTGTGCGTAAAGTTGACGGAAATAGGTGACTTTTGGACAAAGGGCTTCAGTTTGTTGAATAAGAATCATGGCAGAAGCGATTAAGGCGCCTTGCCTGACAAAGTTGACGGGGTCAAACTTGACCATTGGTTCCAAAAGGCCAATAGCCTCACGGTTGCCAGTTCCAGCGCAAGCTATACCCAAAGCCATGGCAGCGCCATAACGGACGTGAGGATTGTATGATTCAGCTAACAGAGATACAACTGATGGGCACTGCTCAGGTGTTCTAAACAGAAGGAAGCCGAGAGCTGTGACAGCAGCGCGACGTACGTCATCATTTACGTCAGAAACGGCTACGTGGAGAAGCGTGCGGATGGAGTCATTATTTCCAGTGCCGCAGTAAGCAGTGGCGATAGTGTAACAACCAGCGCGACGCAGTAGAGGATCTTTGTCCCTTAACAACTGTTGGACAAGGGCATCAGCCTCCTCAAGACGCCCATACATCGTGAAAGCTATACCAACAGCCAATCCTCTCAATATTTTCTCATGCTGAGTTTCTTGAGCATAGGCAACCATATCTTCAATGGCTGCAGCATGCCTGGAACCCAACATGACCATTCCCATGGCTATGCCTGCTGCTTCACCTGTGACTGCATCATCTTGATACAAATTAAACTTGAGTTGTTCATAGACATCTTGTCTGTGTGTACCCATAGCAGCTAGACCAAGACCGAGACAACCTCCATGTCGCACCATCTCATTCTGAGCATCTTTTAGTTGAGTTAAAAGATAGTCAATGATATTAGCACCATGGTTGGCGTGAATTAGACCCAAGGCATATAGGCCACCTCCTTCAGAGTAACCTGATGATGGCCCAGCTTCCTTTGGCAAATATGATTGCATGAGAGCTAGGGACTCATTTTCATGACCTCTATGAATAACTCCAAGGGAGGCTGTTACTGTCAGTTTAGCCCAATTTGTGGCTCTTGCAAGCCATTCTAAGTTATCCCTCAAGAACTGGTCACTGGTAGTACCGGAGTGCATGAAGGCATTGGCTATAACAGTAGCAGTGTGACAAATAGACACTCTAATTGCATCTTTTGTGTTCTTCAAGATAAGCAAATCGGCATGATTAGACCTAATTAAGAATTGTAGTTGTAATCCTATAGATACTTCACCTCCTAGAATTGAAATTAATTTTTCTACCCGTTTCTGGTGTTCTTTTTCTTCATCATTCAGACTTTCTATATCTCTCTCTGGTTTCTTAGCTTCTTCAGCTGGTTGATCAACCTCCATGCTTGCCTCAGGGAATGGTCCTCCTTGAGGTTGGGGCTTGCCACCAAGAGCACTGGGGATGGGTGCTGTAGTTCTTAGAGCCTGTAGTACTCTACCAAGGAACTGTTGTGTAGCTGAGTCATATAAGTCAAAGGCAATTTGGTATGCCATAAGGACAGACTCTTGAGGTCCATGACTTAGTTTATCAAGGATTTCTGCAACAGAGAGAGGATCCTCCAGGAAGATGAGGCACTGGCACATGTTGACATAGTCTGGGATGTTGAGACCTCTGTACAAACCTACCAGGGACCTGAGGACAGTGCTGCGGAAGCCTCTGTTTTGCAAAAGGCTCATTGCAACTGTGAAAGCATACTGAAGCATACCTGGAATTAAAAATTGTAATAATTAATACAAAGAGCAATTGATGAATTGAGTACAAACTTTTGATTCGTTATACCTGCAATTTGAGCATAACACAGGTTTAATATTTTTTTCTGAATAAAATATTTGATTTTACTTTATTGAATACATTTCAGAAAGGTTTTAAGTACTTTTGGCATTTATTAAGTAATCTAAACCTATTTAATATCAATTGTTAATTATTCAATTAAATAGGATTTTTATCATTTTAGTTGGTTATGCTCACAAAATATTAATGTCATTGTAGTTACAACTATTATTGACCTGTGATGACTCATTAACTTTTACCAAACAGATTAGTAAACAATATAAGTAAAAACAATGAAAAAGTGAATAGGCATTGTGAATTGCATTTTACAGTAAACAAAGGCATTTTATAAACATTGTTTAAAAAGTAACTTACCAGCTACATCATCAGATTTCATAATGGATTCCTCAAAAATGTCCATGCGTCGGGTTTCCAGCGCCAACCCCAGTGCCTGCCTGTACTGTCCATCATCAAGGCATCGTTGGAACATTCGGTTCACGATGGCTTCTAACCTGGGATCTATCGCTCCTGCATCGCTGTCCACGAACAGAGCCTTCCTTTTAGAAGTGTAGAAGTCGATCGCCTTAGCAATAGTTGTGTCGACATATTCATTTCTTGCATTCACATCGAACAAATCACCAGCGCCCAGCGCATACGTCAATGAATCTTCAAACGCTCCCAAGTGGTAATACACCTTACTTGCCACCAAAGCTGCTAGCTGGTGCTGAGAGAACACTTTGTCTTCATGCAATATTTCAATCTTTTCAATAGATTCAGATATTTCAGGCCAAAATTCATCGACGATATTGTCCAACCTTTTCAATGCAAACTCTTTAACTTCAGACATCGGCTCATCCAGCAGGGATATAATCCCCGCCGCTGATGTTATATTCATCTTGTTGTTTGTTAACTTATAATTCACCAACACAAAACTTTCGCGATGATTTCTTGCTTATTAATCGGCAATTTTTGATACGAGCTACGAGCACAAATAATACGATGATTTGACAAATTTCTTTTGTCCATAGACTATAATTACTATAGACATTTAGACGATGGGTTAATTTGTTTTTTTTTATGATTTGGTCATAGCGGTATTTTATTATTCATGATTTTCATGATACTAAAATAAAATATAATAATATAAAGCAGTTAAAAACCGCAATAAATAAAAGCAGGCAAATTACGTTCAGATTTATTATTAATTTTTTCTATGTAAAGAAAGGTGCGTTTTGAAACCCAAAACATACCATGAGACATCAAAAAAATAACATTAGTAATTGTTAAATAATTTGTTTTATAATGCCTATTTTATGATTACTAAGTTCTTCTTTTTTAATTTTAATATCTCTCATTATTTTATATTCCAAAATTCCTGAATTCCGCAAGTTTATTTCTGACAACCTCTAAAAGTGTTTAATGACTAAATCCTAGTTCAGAATCTACCTCGATTGTGAGTTGTCAATTTTCTGTCATACACATTCCTACGTCGTGCGAACGAAACATCTGTAAAGTGACTTTCTGTGTGAATAATTCAATAATTCTTCAAAATGTTAGATTTATTCAGCATTTTTAGTAAAGGAGGAATAGTGCTGTGGTGTTTCCAGAGCACAAGCGAAATTTTTTCGCCTTCTGTGAACGCTTTAATCCGTAGTGTGATATTACAAGTAAGTACTTTCGTAAGTTGGGAAACCCTAGTGAATTGTGTCTTAATCTAATTAGTATTCACAGTCTGGATAATTTACATATGCTAAGCTTTATGTTTTGAATTAATGTGGACTTATAAATTAAGCATTTAGTTGGTCTGCTTCCAATAATGTCCTTGGCTTATTTATATTGCGTTCTTTCAATGTTATCATAGTCTTTATAGCCTTATCTAGAGCATACCTTGTGAATGTACCATATGCTATAAATATAGACTTGTTTACTGTACTATAGACAAATAAAGCTTGTCATATGTTGTATAAACTGTCCTTACCAGGTAAGGATCATAAAACAATAGAAATTTGAAGTTATACTAATTAAATTCCTTAATTTAATTGTATGGTGTGATTTGAAATGTATGTCTATAAAGCACCCACAACATGTGGAAATTCTAGTGTAGAGTCAAGTATATTTAAAGAGACAATATTTTATTTTTCAGGAGCGTTCAGGCAACAATACATTCAGCCACAATGCCTTATCACTGCAATACAAACTCGACAATGAGTTTGAGCTGGTGTTTGTGGTGGCGTACCAGCGCATCCTGCAGTTATCATATGTGGATAAGTTCCTCAATGATGTGCACCTGGAGTTTAGGGACAAGTATAAGAATGAGCTGCAAGGAGGCCACCACATAATGGACTTTGATTTTAAAACCTCTTTTGAGAAGGTGTTACGGGATTGTGAGAAATGGGGTAAGGGAATTTTAATATTTCACTTTTAACTTTCACATTTATAGTAGGAGTAAGAATTATATTTGTAGGTTTATCCAATTCTTATCAAATATCTGTTTATATTAATTAACAACAATTAAATTTTAATTTACAGCTAAATCACAAGCTAAGATTCCAAAACAAATGAGAACATTTGAAGACTCGCAGAAGTCCAAAAAGACTGTTGCTTCAATGATTGAACGCAGGGGAGAAGATAAGGGGAAGAAATCTGGTAAGTCTAAATGGATTCCATTTTATTATACATTTGCATCATTGCGTTACACAAGTAGTATCATTTTCAATTACTTATTTGTTGAGTTTATTTATTTTGAAAAAAGAATGTTTTTATAAGTGGCCATTTTATTTGCAATTCATATTCCAATCTTCTGATTGGAACTTGTTTGTCACCTGTTATCATTGTGTATCTAAATAATCTTATTAGAGTAAATTGGCTTATCTCTTAACTAGGTTGTGGCTTCCTAAGTGAAACAAAATATGAATCTATTTTTTATTCAAGGGAAACATGTACTTCTTTTTCTTTTTGAGGGGTGATAATCATTTAATAAATTCTCCTGCCTTGGGTCAGGCGAGAAGAAGTGTCAGACTCTTATTGACTAAAGTAAAAACCACCCCGTTTCTACTCCTGCTTTTCGAGCCGGAGGCCCAGCTACCCGTTAGACCTTAGACAGTTAGACTTGTATTATTAAATAGTGAATATTTTGAAGTAAATTTTATAGTTTTCTTGATACTAACATGTTATTTAATTTCATATGATACACCTTATTTTAACTAAGCATAGAGAGTACTCTCTATATATTCAAAATTGACATCAATGATGATGTTTGGTTTCAGTAAAAATAGTAGAAAATAAGAACCTAACTAATGGCAAGGTGGAGGAGTCTCCGGAACAGGAGGATGATGTGATTGCTATGAACAGAGCTAAGATGGCTCAGAAACTGGCTTCCAAGGGCAAAAAGGAGTTGCCCAAGTAAGTAACATTATTACCTTCCCTAAAAACTTGTTTATGAATTGAATAAAACATCAAAATGTATCAATATGTTGACTTCAATCTTTTAAGTAAACAAAATTAAACCATAAACTTGTAGTGGGTATTCAAAATGTTTCTTTATAATTTACAATGGCAGACAGGTTTGATGGAACTGGTGAAAGTAGGTACATCTGTCTTATCCTGTATCTCTGCACTGTGGTGGAACAATGTTTTTTTTAATGTATAATAATACTGTTTAGAAATTGTTGACCTGTAGAGAAATATAACTTGCAAAGTTGCTAACATTGAAGTATGTGTCTTGTGACAAACAGAATAATGTTCATTTTTCCTGTTTGTATAAAACTCGTTTTTATACCTACTTCTTATGACGTCAATGTGTCTCATTCACTCTTTGACATTAAATATGTTGGAATTAATTATTGTACCTACCTACATTTGTTATGTTGGCTTTGGGTATCAGGAGACTTGTTTTGGTAATATTCAAATGAAAATATGCAGAAATATTAGTATCCAATAGCAATGTTGATGATGGTCATAGTGACCGAAATGCCACAGTTTTTTAAAATTGTAGTTTTTTTAATCCTTCGAAACCAGCATTTGATATTATTGTGATTCCCTAGTCAAGTAGTGTAAAAAATACTATCTTTATTTAAAAAACCTGATAGCCTGAATAACTAGGGCTTTTTATTTACGAATAACAAGGCATTCATTCTGTTACACTTTGAATATAATACTAATGAATGTGTTATGTGTGTCACCAGGAAGTCTCCAAAGAGTCCTAAGGTGGAGCGCGTGAAGCAGCCCCGCGTGTGGGAGCTGGGCGGCGGGACACGTGACCTGCCCTCGCTCGACTTCAGCACTGACAAGCCGGAGGACGCCGAAAACCAGATCACGCCTGATACTCAGGTACACTCATTGATATGTTTTAATTTAATAGATTATTTGACATTTTGATTGTAATTTTTGATCCCAATTATGAAAATGTATTTTTTTTTGTGCAACATTAGTAAAATACTTATTCTATATTTATGATTATTTCTGGCAATACAGCTAGTGGGTCAGATGACGGGAGCTATCCGTGACCTGGAGGTGGAATCTGACGAGAGTAGCAGTGAGGAGGAAGATGAGGGACCCACGCAGTCCGCTCAGAAGAAATCAGGCGGCATGTTCAGCATATTCAAGGGTAAGATTTTTATTATTATGATACAAAATAGAAATATCCTCCTAGATTGTAAGAAATATTCAAAAGAAAAAAGCTAGAGAATTATTCAATTCTATCAGCTTAAAATAAGTAAAATAAGTCTTGCCTCCTAATAATTTAACAGCTAAGGATAGGTTTGCCATAAGCTAACAAACTTTGCCCAAACTTTGTTCAGTTGACCGACAAATATTTTAGAAGGTGACCTAAGATTATAAGTCCTTCTTATTAAGTCTACCACAGTTACTTTTAATTGATGAATTTATTTGAATTAAGAATTTTTTTGTTATGATGTTTAAACGCGCGGCAAAATGTTGAGCTGTCACTGTCATATTTCCGCTCGTCATTATAAACGGCCAGGTATTTTTTACTCTATGGTTTTGTATGGAAGCACGAAAGTTTCACTCAACGATTTTACTGAACGTTATGTGTGTGTGACTATAAATATAAATCTCCAAACAGCTAGACCAAAAATAACTCAAAACTGAAACTAGTGTTTCTGTTTATTACACTCACGCATACGCAGCGCAATAGACAAAGCGTTGCTCTACATTAATGTTTTTATATTATCTTCTACAATAATAATACGAAGATGCTTTGGCTTCCAGGGTTGGTGGGGTCTAAGGCTCTGACGAAGGAGTCTATGCGTCCAGTGCTGGACAAGCTTCAGGACCATCTGATTGGAAAGAACGTCGCGGCTGACATTGCTACCAAGCTTTGTGATTCTGTTGCTACCAAACTTGAAGGAAGGGTGAGTGTAGAATATCTATTAATTTTTATTTGTTTGTTTGATGTGATGTAGTATAAGATAATAGCTATGTGCTTACCTTTTTTACTTTTTATTTGCATACAATACTTTTGAGTAATTTACCAGTTCTAGTCTAGTTTTGAAGTCGTGATTTCGTTAGATCTACGCGGCGTACAAATAAGATCGTTGTTTTATTTCGTATAAAAATAAATTTTATTGCAATTGATACATTACATACCAATGGAGTTCAGTTTTATTTTTGTGTTAATGTAATTTAGTTTTGTGTAGCTTTACGACTTTTCTCTGTTTACTATATCTTTAGGAGAATCTAAACTACATTTTAAAGTCGGAAAGCTTTACATATATTATATAGATTCCGAGGTTTTTGAATAGGCTTCTAAACTATATCCTAATGTCTTTAAATTTTATTGTAATGTGAAAATTGCCTGTCATCTGTAAAGGATCACCTTGATTGTTTGAAGCTTTGATCAAGTTTCTAGTTTGGTTGTGTGCCAAAACGTCCAGGTGTATCGAATTGCTGTTCCATTTCACTCGCGAATACAATTGTTAATTGATCGGACGTTGTGTGATGTTCACTTCCTGTAAAAACATTTATTGCTGATTTTAATGACATTCCGCATTCATACAATGAAAATATCATATGATTTTAGTAGTAGCTTTTCGCTCGCAGCTTTGCCCGCGCGATTAAGACCATCTAAAACTTCCTCACTTGCGTAGTTTTATAGATCTACTAGCTTTTACCCGCGGCTTGGCTCGCGTCACAAAAGGATAAAATGTAGCTATATGACATATACCAAACACACAGCGCCATCTATACTAACACTTTTGTTTTCAATCGGGAATATTAATCGGGATAAAAAGTACCCTATTATTTAATCCGGACTTCTAACTTTACGTCTGCAAAATTTCAAAGCAATCGGTTTAGTATTTACGGCGTGAAAGCGGAACAAACAAACAAACTCACTTTCTGATTTATAATATTAGTAAGGATAGATCTAAGCATTCATAGAGTCAGACAGCTAGAACTTGACTGACTGATTTTGTTTTATACTGTGTGGTGATAAAGTAGTAAAAAATATCTTTTGTCCTCGGGGAACTGCGGTGGCTTAATACGCGACTGATTTTAAGTCTTTGACTGTCGGTAGATAAGTGTTAAAGGCAAATCTTCCGCTATCTATGCGCAATGCAGATATGTCGTGCATAAGACTCTTGAACGGTTAAAACTGTGATTTATTTAATTTAATTTATTTATTTCGAACAATTTAAATCCATTTGGTTAGTAAACAAACAAACTTAATCTGTCAAACACCAAGCGGTCACCGGTGACCGCGACCTATTGTTCTTTAATTGTGTCTATAAAACCGGTACTCGACGAGTTAAAAAACTAGTGTTAGTACTTAAAATTACCGGTTATAATTAAACATGACTATCATAACATAACATAACATCACGCCTTTTTATCCCCAAAGGGGTAGGCAGAGGTGCACATTTCGGCACTTAATGCCACTGTACAATGTAACACCCACTTTTCACTATTTATGTTATGAGTCCCATGTAATAGGAGGTGAGCCTATTGCCATATACCGGGCACATTTCCAGACTCCGTGCAACTACTGAGATTTTTAAAAACCCAGTAATACTTTACCCGACCCGGGAATCGAACCCGAGACCCCTTGCCCGGCAGTCGCACTTGCGACCACTCGGCCAACGAGGCAGTCAAACATGACTATCATACGCCACAATAGCATGTAGGCTACTTAGATGAGTTCCATAGTCCAGAATTTAACTGACAATCGAAATCGATAAAAAACATGTTATTAAATATGTTATGTTTTCCTTTTATTAGGTACTGGGAACATTCGACAGTGTGGCTAAGACAGTGAAGGCGACGCTAACCGAGTCGCTGGTACAGATCCTGTCTCCGAAGCGTCGCGTGGACATCCTGCGCGACTGTATGCACGCCAAGCAACAAGGGAGACCTTATGTTGCTGCATTTTGTGGGGTATGTGTTAAAGGACATAATATAGTTTTTGAATATTTCTTTATAAATTTGTATGATAATATGCTATTATTTAGTTAGTACCTATTATGTACTTATTAATTAGGTAAATAATTAACTAAAAATCGCGGTTACTCACGTGATGATACTGAGAAAAGCTCTACTAGTTTCGAGCCACAGAGGGGTTCTTCCTCATGAGTATTTTCACATGAGTAACCCGCGATTTTAGTTAGTTAATTTTGTATGTCTCACGATAGTTATTATAAAAATATAAGTAAATAATAATATTAATTGTCTTCTGAAAATTGAATCGCGTGGCTGTTGCATTACTTATAAGTACTGCTAGAACAAAACAGTTCATGATAAAGGTCTTTATAGCATTATACATTACATTAATCTATTTATATCGGGAATGCTTTCAACATCTCGATTTATGCTTAAAGTCGTAAATGAAACACGTTACACTACTTGTTCGCCTCTAGCTTTTACCCGCGGCATTCCTGTTTTATCCCATGGTAGCATTTCATCGGGATAAAAAGTATCCTTTCACATAAATCAGCCCATACCCTGCCTCCATACCAAATTTTTAAAATCCGTTGTGTAGTTTCAACGTGATGGACAAACAGCCAAACACTGAGACTTTCACATTTATAATATTAGTGTGATGTTACTGTATTCGACAGGGTCCTTGATTTAGTATTTTACTCTAAAATCAGTACCTACATTGAGAAATTGCTGTAAAAATCTCCAACCATAATATATAACTCTTTAAGAGTGGGAGAGCGATGTTTCGACACGAATGGGCCGGCTCGACCGGAGTGATATCACGGCCTCACAGAAAACCGACGTGAAACAACGCTTGCGTTGTGTTTCGTCGTGTGAGTGAGGGAACAGGAGGCCCAATTATCCCCTTTGTTCCCCAATCACCTCAATCCTTGAACCTCCAACAATCCTTAAATTCCTAATCCATAAAAGGCCGGTAACGCACTTGTAAACGTCTCTGGTGTTCTGAGTGTCCATGGGAGACGCCGATTGCTTACCATCAAGTGACCCGTCTGTTCGTTTACCGGATTCTGCCATAAAAAATCTTTAATAAGTCGTATTATTTTGACAGGTAAACGGCGTGGGCAAGTCCACAAACTTGGCGAAGATATGTTTCTGGTTGATAGAGAACGACATGTCGGTGCTGATAGCGGCGTGCGACACGTTCCGCGCCGGCGCGGTCGAGCAACTGCGCACGCACACCCGCCATCTCAACGCGCTGCACCCCGACTCCAGGCACCGCGGCCGGAAGATGGTGCATCTCTACGAGAAGGGATATGGTATGCACTGCTTTTCAATATGTTAATGTTGTATATTTTTTAAATCAAAAGCTTTTTTGGTTTATATGAAAGTTAGAGGTTGGAAAAGCCGATTGTTTTGATGCAAAGTTAGTTTCGGATATGAAAAAAATCCAACGTAATTATTCGGATGCAATAACGAACTCTTATCGACTCTTAAATACAATCTCATCTTGAAAGTGCTAACACTTTCATTAAGGTTTCACGTTCACCAATTAATCTATTAAAATTAAATAGATTATAATTACACTGTGATTTTTTGCACGTAATTAGTTTAACTTAAATCTGCAATTGAGAAACTAAATAGATATTCCATCCATCCCCAGGTAAGGACGCGGCCGGCATAGCAATGGAAGCCATCCGTTACGCGACGGACTCTAAGATCGACGTCGTACTCATAGACACGGCAGGCAGGATGCAGGACAACGAGCCTCTCATGCGAGCTCTGGCCAAACTCATCAAAGTGAACGAACCAGACATGGTACTCTTCGTCGGAGAAGCTCTTGTTGGCAACGAAGCCGTGGACCAACTTGTCAAGTTCAACCAAGCTTTAGCGGACCACAGTTCGTCTTCGAACCCTCACGTTATCGACGGTATTGTGCTTACCAAGTTCGATACTATCGATGATAAGGTCGGGGCTGCCATATCGATGACTTACATCACTGGACAACCGATTGTGTTTGTCGGTACTGGTCAGACCTATACTGATCTTAAAGCTCTGAATGCTAATGCGGTGGTACACGCGCTTATGAAGTGAATGTATGGGACTATTGGGAGTATAGCTGTGTGTGCTGTCTGTGTCTTGAAAGACTATCACTATTATAGTTCGATTGTAATTTAATTTATACTTCTGTTATGCAATGTAATGTCAATGTGTTGCTAAAGCACACTTTTAAATGAATAGACCAATTTAAACTCATGAATTAAATAGATAAAGATTTTTATTACTGAACGCGTTTATATTGTCAGCTAATAATAATAACGTAATATCCGTTGACAAAGATGTTTATGATACACCAAAATCTATATAAATAAAAATGCTCTGCTGTTCGTTAGTCTCACTAAAACTCGGAAACGGCTGGATCGATTTGGCTAATTTTGATCTTGAATTATTTGTAGAAGTCCAGGGAAGGTTTAAAAGGTGAGAAAAAACAATTGAGGCGATATGAAGTTTTTCGGTCAAATAGTAAAATGATGATTTTAAATCGTGTTTATATGAATTCTTGTGTATTTAAAGTGCTACAAGTACTTGGAATAGTCTCGAAATGATAATATACAAACAATAAGTGGTAACAGCACACACAGCTAAATAGAAAGATATATTTGGAATGTAATGTAACTATTAGTGATAATTTAGGAACCTGCGTTCAATCAATGTGGTGTTGTATTCACAAATAAATGTTTATTTTTCGTATTGTTTTGTTTTTATTCGGGTTTTGTTACAGGGTTGTTGAGGTGGATATTGCTGGTTGATATCTTATTGTGACCATAGAATATTGAACTATAATATATATGTACACACGGCCACACATCAATCTATACAAAACCAGTTACCCTGCTATCGCGTCGCATCATCTTTCCGCACATTTAACGTTCAGTTTATACTGGTTATGTAAAGCTCGATGTGTAGCCTGTACTACCTACCTACTATATTTAGGAGCAAAGAAACAGCTACACGCCTTTTTTTATTTTATCGAACCGTCTATTATATAATATTCCTTTTACAACCAAATGCTCTCATTTTAATGGTAACTAAATAGCCTTTTATATGATATACATTACCAATTATAGAATAATTGTTTCAGAAAATATTAATCAAGAAATGATAAAGAAAACGCTAGTGGTTTCGGTTCTTTACTCCTAAGTGTATATGCCAGAATATTTCAGTTTGTTTTCCTAAGGACTTGGAACTATATTGTGTTTAATAATTTATGAGATACCTAGACGTGACTCGCATATTTTTAATACTTGTGACATTCTTATATTCATTAATTATATTAAAGGAAAAGGGACAGTAAAGAGCTACATTCCTTTAATATATTTTTTTAAATAACATTCAATGCTTTACTTTCAGTAGTTGACAATACTTTGTCACCAGCAGTGTCCATCTATATTAATGTTTATTTTGATATTATTTCTTTATAAGCGAAGTCTTTTGTAACTATGTCAAACTATTAGAATAATTATGTTGAATAAACTAGAATTAAATTGTTTTCTATTGATAATCTATTTGTTATTTGAAAAACTAAATTTTATACGCAATGAAGATTGATAAGTAAATTCTAAAATAAAATAATATTAGGTAAATCAAATATGAGTAAAGTGGGATTAAAATTAATAAAATATTTTGTTTTATATTGAATCGAAAAGATAGGAATGAAAATTTACAATTTGTATGTATTTCATAATTTTCAGTTTTTGTGTAATTTTGTAAGCTTTTTTACGCTGCCTTTTAACAAATAGTTTAATAATAATTACAAGTCTAATAAGACATAGAAGGACGATCAACTAAAAATACATTTTTACGCAATAAACCTAACAATTGTTATAACTTTCGTAAAGTAGCCATCAAAAGCCCAATTTAAACCTTTTTCCATATACTATTACAGGTTAACTGATCAATTGTTATTAAATTGTCTAAATTTGAACGACTTGTTCACTCAAAACGTATGCTGAAAAATGTATTGTTTTTGCACATTTTGGTTATAGTTAATTGTCAGAATAATAATTTCTATTGGCTAGCAATAAGGCCTATTTTTGTGTGAGTACTACCACACAGATTTCAGTATCTACCTTCAACATTTCTAACTGTTTAAGTTTAAATATGAATTAGTTATACTATAATCTCTGACAGAAAAATAATAATAATTAATTTGTCTCACGAAATATCTGATTCTGCCATAATATTTCTATTACTTATTTTACTTATACTATTACATAATTATAACAGTATTTACTTATGACAAATGCACGCCATAATATACTTTAAATTTTTTATAACATAGTTTTTTATTATTGATAACCTTGTCCTTGCAAGCTTAGAACTGACCTAAAGATGTTGGACTCGTCATAGATTAAATTATGTACTATGTCTAAAAATAGATAGTCTGCCTTGAAGATAAAATCTCTTGTAAATACCTAGGTCTTTTTTTTTTTTTTTAAGGGGGGAAAATCATCGAATGACTGCTTCCGCCTGGGTGAGGCGGAAGGGAGTGTCAGACTCTTACTGACTGAAAACCACCCCGTTCCTTCTCCTGCACGTCGAGCCGGAGCCCCGGTTACCCGTTAGGTTCTCCGCGACAAATACCTAGGTCTATATTTAGCCTAATGTGTTGTTATACTGACGGAATTGTACATAACACTTTTTTACATTTATGTTATGTTAGTTTTAATTTATCTGTAATAGAAAGAAAATAGACCTATTGAGAAACACCAGGCACAATTACTAACTTAACAGATCGCACTATTTCTGAGGGTTTCAAAATCGACATCCCATGTAACTTTGGAACAAAATTCCTGAATATGTTGTTTGGGAATGAAAGTTCGAAAAACAAATTTTCCAAGGGATATCAGGTGGTGCCTGGTGGGTACTATAATGAGTTAGGAATGCAAAATTAATTCACCTACTTTAGCTCCTAACACCGCACAGTGACCACAAGCCCGTCATAAAATATTACCGCATAGAATTATATCAATTTGCTACCTCTCATAATTTTGTGTGACCTTTCAATTAAGTCGCATCCTAATTAAGACAAAACTAATTACATTGAGTTAGTATTTTTGGTACAATTCTGTTGAATGTCCGTCTGTTCGAACGTGCTGCACGATGGGGAAGGGTTTCGATTATGTCAAAGATTTGGTGGTGAATTTTAAGCTGGATTGGTGTTGCTGGGTGATTCCCGTCAGGATAGGACTGTTCATTACCGGATACTTTAATATTATTTTAGCGGTAAGTGATTTTTATTTGTCTTATACATTATCGTGTGATTATCACCGCTATTATTTCTGTGGGTGGCATCAGAGCCGACTGTGGGATTATACATTTAACGTAGGCCGTAGCAATCTTCAAATCCTGTCAAGCATGCAGATTATGGTATACTCCACTGAGTAGACGGACCCATAAGTTCCCTGGGGACCGACTGCTGTGTCACAGGTTTTATTCTCATGTTTTTTACTAAGAGTTTTTAATAATAGTGAAAATTAGATGTTATCTATTATACTTGCATATTTTTATATTTGATGGGCTGACGTTTGACCACTATCTCGCCTCGTGGTAAGCGATGATGCGGTCTACGATGGATCATGTCGTTTCATAAGAAACCTATTCACTCGGACCTTCAAGACACCCTTTATGAATTACAGAATTCAATTCGAGGTCTGGTCAAAATTCAGCGCTAACTCAATACCCAGACCCTGTAATCGAGAGTTGCGATTACAGCCATGAGACTAATGAAAGTAGGTACTCATTTCTAGTTCGAACAAAGTGGAGTTCTTAAATTTCTACATTCGGAGGCTATAAGCGTCGAAGAGTACCTACGGCCGTTTCAAAGGTCTGATTACTATGTTTTCAGGTAATATCTCTAGTGGGCATAGCGGACGACAGTTTCGTGCCGATCCTGGTACAAGTACAGGCCACAATACTCGACGACAATGCCACCAAACCAGCCCCCATGATAGCCTACTCCGTGGAGTTCGCGTTTAATGTTATTCTACTATGTGCTTTATACCGGGTAAGTTCGTACCTATAGTTACTATTAATCAACATTATAAGACTGCCTTTTTGTGAATAATTTGCTTAAAAGTAGGCTGATGTCGGCAGGGCCGTCTTAAACTACGCTGGACGCCCTTGGGCACACAATCTTTTTAGAATGTTTATTATTTTTACTCCACACCAGGATGTCCTCCCGTATCGTGGGTGCATTTACAAACATTCAGTTCACATACACATGACAGCCAGACCCGAAACAACAATTTGTGGATCACACAAAGATTTACTCCGTGCGGGAATCAAACCCGCTACACCTTGCAGGACCGGGGGCAGCCGGTTGCTGCAGCGTGAAGCGGATGTGTGTCATTCGTAGAAATTGTCGGTGCGAGTATCATTGTATGGTACGACTAGATGTCGGTACCTATTACCTATGTCGTCATGATCTAATAGGCCGGGGTGGACCAGAATAATGTCACGGCCTCACAGCCAGTGAGCCATTTTTCCAACATATTTTTTAAAAACGTTGCCCCACTATAGGATTCTCTTCTGTGTCGTGGGTGCGGTTACAAACATACAAGTTCACATACACATGACACCTAGACCCGGAACAGTAATCTGTGGATCACAAATAGCGTTGTTCCGTGCGGGAATCGAACCCGCGACGCGTTGCGCGGCAGTCAGTTGCCCAACCACCGCGCCAACCGTGCAGTCAAAGTAAATAAAGCGATGTGAAAAAAGCTTGCATTGTTTCACTATGTAAGTAAGGTTACCGGATGTCCAATTCTTCCTACCCCTACCTGACGACAAAAAAAGGCCCTACTTGACGTCCAAGTCAACGTGGTTTTCTCTCCAGAACACGTTCAATCCTACGAGGATTTCGGGTTCCTCCGGTATTCGTCATCGAGATTTTCCGACAAATTAGACTAGACCAATGCGACTACAGCTTGGCAATCCTTTAACCTGTGAAGTATCGGAACGCAGATCTAGGCGAGACAATGTGTTTTCTATTGTCTCATATATCGACAGATAAGAGGTTAAGTCACATAGCTAAACATCGTCTAATTTAGGTCTTTTTTTATGGCATAAGCCGGTAAACGAACAGACGGATCACCTGATGGTAAGCAATCGGCGTCGCCTATGGACACCTGGAACACCAAAGGCGTTACAACTGCGTTACCGGCCTTTTGGGATTAGGAGTTTGAGGATCGTTGGGGATTCAGGAATTAGGAGGTATCTAAGTACAACTTCGCAAGATAATAACTATTAATGTTTATTGTGTGTTTAGAAAGACATGACGTTGATGCGCGTGTACATGAAGTACTGCATCGCCGCGATCATCACTTCCATAATGTTCTACTCCATGGTGGTGGCCGCCATCGGCGTCGTCGTCACCATCGCTATGGTGCTCAGCATACGTAAGTAACTAATTTTATGTAGGTTACATAATGTACTTGTTTACTTACAGTAGGTAGGTACAATTTACACAAATGTATATGCCTCTAATAATGAGTTATTGGTTCTATATTTGAAAGAGGGAAAGCAGCTAAGGACGTGGAGGACTAAGAACTAAGGTGGATGCCTACCCCTTAGTCCTCCACCTCCGTAACTGCTTTGTCGAGCAGTCGACGTATTCCGGCTGTTGATGAAAGCAAATACTGTCCCTTGATCTTGATAATGTTCATGGATACATACCCTTTACAAAATCAAGTTAAAAAATAGTTTTCATAATTTTCCCTACTATGAATTTACAGTTTTAACAGAGCCTTTAGTTTGTACTCCTTTAAAACACAGGAGCAACGTCCAATGCAGGGCAAAATCCTTCTACTTCCACTCCTCTCTGTTACAGAGTCCATTCAGACACTATCCAGTCACATGACTAACATCAAATTTAAAATTCCAGTGTTCCAGATATACGTCTTAGTACTGGTAAGAAGTATCCTAGTGGAAATGAGGCTTGAGCAGAAGGCTGCAGCGGAACCAACGCTGGTGATGAGCACGTTACTCCAAGAGGAACAAGAGAGGACGGAAAAGGAGAAAGTCGAAGTCGACGTAGAAGCACCACCACCGACGGAAACCGAAGCTGAAGTGGAAAGGAGACCAGAAACTGCACTCGAAACTGTTGATGAACACCCCAGGGAAGAGACGACTCAACAAAGAGAATAAATATTATTATTATTTACTTATTAAATTATTGTTTTCGTATTGTTTTATTTTCTTGGTGATAGATGATGAGTAAAGATAATAAGGTACCTATGTTGTTTTGTAGATTAATAGTACCAATAATATTAAGAGATGAGAAATCTCTTGAATGAATGAGATGATAGTCAAGAGAGTATTTTTTAAATAAATCGACACTATTTTTTAATCTCATTTAAAAATAATTAATTAGTAAGTGTAAAAATACGTTCAGGGTAAGGTAGAAGCTTATGTGAAAAAAAAATACCACAATTTATTCCCATTATTTTAATCATTAACTCACATTGAAAATATTACATAGGTCATTAGGTATATGACTTGTATCACACAAAGAAATACGTAGGTAATAGAGATATGTCCTATACCTACAGTCAGACATTATATCTATAAACACTAATACGTATACATGTTACACATATACTTTAACACGTGGCGCTAGGGTAGACAGATAGCTATTTTATAAATCTATTATCCCGGAAAATATAGACCGGGCCGGAATTATTGAAAAATTTTAAAACTTGATTAATTATAGTTGAATGGAATTATTATCTATATCTATTACCGTAGTAATGTAATTATGACATTTATATAAACTAACGCCACTTGCGACATCTACAGAAAATTGTATAGGTGTCTAATATATGACCATAAATACTATTAACAATAATTTTGACGGAAATTTGTCATTGTAAATTATATATCTTGTCCACAACGTGTCTTGAAAATCCGCTAAATAGTAAATAAAATACATATATATTTTATTGATAGTTTTATCATATTACAGTATTTATAGAATAAAAAGGGAATATCTCTATGAATTTAACAGTGGATTCGCAATCAAAAAATTCGCCGATTTTTTTTTTATATTACTGAAACCTTGGCATTCTGTCAGTTTATGACCAAGTGACTCTTTGGTGTTATTTTTTTAAATCACTGCGACTCCTACCGACGTTCTTACGTACCTATATTAAACACTACCAACATTGAGCTTACGTCTAAAGCATGTACTATTGAATATATGTAACCAAAGTTATAAAATAAGAAAGATACACATAGATTCGACTAGGCTGACAACTAGATTCCTCAACTTCACTATCAAGATAAACACACAGAAATGCTCGTATTAATGCATTATTATTGAAAAGAGGTGGCACTAAGTTTGGCGTGGTGAGCTACATTGGTTGCTCAGTTAAATCGTTCTGATATATCGCACAGAATCTACACACAACACAGTGAACACGTAATTTTATATATATTTTCACATCTATGTATTACATAAACACAGTGAATGGCTACAAGGTCGGTGGGAGTTTTGGGAAACATTACAGTGGGCATACATGAATATTGAACAATATACTATTTACCAAGATGATGATTTTTTTTCAAGGATTCTTTCCAGTGAAGATGTTCTTTACCGTTTTGATCTTTATTCTATCCAGACAAACGACAGAACTATCGATCACGGAATTTGTTGAGTTAGGTACATTCTTAGCCAAGTTGGAATAACACAAAAGTTGAAACTTATACAAAACTAAATAATTTTTTTAAATTCAAAACAACAAAATTATACTTATAACTAACTTCTTAAGTCAGACCCTGCACGTAAGGTTACTAGAACGACAGTGTAAAATATAATACGTGTAAGGCCTTTTGCACATTATAAGAAACTTTCTTGTGTCTTATGAGAAATGTCTTATAAGAAATTCAGTCGCAATGATTGTTATATCAGACCATACATATTACAAGATATTTTTTCTTATGTCGGATAAGACACGCACATACTAGACATTTTGTCGGCTGCATGTTCGATGTCGTGCCTACACAAGACGTCTTGCTTAGACACGACATCTACTCAGCTATGTAAACAAGTTTGCGCGTGCACATTCGGCGCGGCTGCGCTAGCGATTAGACGTGTAGTGTCCATGCTTTTATTTAAATTAAACTTTTATCAAACATGAGTGCCATAAAAGTGAACATGAAACATCTAATAGCTTTAGTAGAAGAAAGACCTGTAATTTGGGACAAAACTTGTGAGGAATATAAATTTAGGAATTTGAAGAAGCCGCATGGATGAAATATGTTCCATATTAATAGAAAATTTCAAGAATTGCCAATAGCGGAAAATAGTTTTGGTACCAACTTCGTATATGCCCCATCATTGATTCTTGTCATATTTAATGGATGTATCCAATGGCGCCTACAACTACGGCGTTTTTTTCTATGGTACAAGTATGCAATCAATAATAGACGCTGTCGTCTGTCCATTTTGTACACGTGTATCCTCCGTGAATTGTGGCTACAGACTGAGGATAAGACGAATTGCATGAATGTGTACGATACACCAGACAAGACATTTTTCTTGTCTTGTGTCCGTATCTTATAATGTGCAAGAGCTCTAAAAGGTTTCTTTCAGAATTTTAAAGTTCTGACTGCTCAGAACTGTCCTAAACATGTGGGATCTACAATAATTCCAGGTTTATAAATTGGTTTTCCTACAGTCAGTATTAATACGGAACGGATGGAAATTTGTATAAACCCCACATTGTAAAAATATAAAAAAGTTTTTTAAACAATAAATCCAACGATACTCAATTATTTAACGAAAAAGGAACAACGAAATACCCGTAATGTCAACCACTGTCAAACGACTTGAAGAGTCAATTTTATAATTTTAAAAATTAATAAAATCAAGTCAAATATATCGAATAGTATTCAAAATTTATTTTATACTTTATCCCCTACATTTTGATACGGATAAAGTTTAAAGGATTTAATCCAAATAAAGTAAATTTATTAACATCGAATGTCAAAGTTTATAACAAAGCTTTCGTCAAATTATTGACTTTCCAAGACATACATTTCTAGAGACCTTCCTAATATCACACTTCCAGAAATTCTTCGTTTCCTCAAATTCACTTCTTAAGTACATACCTACATACCCTAACAATTTATGTATCCTAAATATATTTAGGCAATCCTAATCAGTCAATTATAATTACTTATTGTTGGCCACATCACTTACCATACATTAAGCAGTTAAGACTAAAAAGATTGAGTATCGTTGGATTTTAGTACAAAATAATTATATTTTCGTGTAGCCAGATGAGCTTCGTATAAAACTGGCTTTCTGACCACTTGTGTTATAGACTCGTATAAATTGAAGCTATGGAAAAAGTGGTCAAAGTACGTGATCTTATCTTCTTATTTAGCTTAATTTATGTGTTAGGGTATAAAAATTAAAATATTTTTTTTATGATATCTGTCAAACGTCCGTTATTTTTTATTGTTGATAATTAACTAGTCAAATATTCATCGGCCCTTAAGATATTCAAGCAATTTGGTCAAATAGCTAAGAGACTAGTTATAATTTTTTTTATAAATCATAGGTACTTAAAAAAATATTACATTTAATAGTTTATCCATAGCAAGAATACTGTCAAGAATTGTAAATAGAGTTCCAAGTTATTTTGTCCAATATTTTTGTATGATATTTGTATTGTCGACCTAAGCCGGTATAACGCAGCCCATCTGACAACACTATACTTACAAAGTAAATCAGATTCATTACATAATAATAAAAGGTAGAAAGTTGAATGGCATTGAATGCTTTACTTTTTTTTATTTATGTTCATCTTGCTCATGCTGCTAGCTAGGCCGCGACCTGGAAAGGAAATAGTGAATGATGAAATTGTTTGAATAAGATAGTTTTTCTTAGGTACTTCAACTACAAATGGATGAAATAGATGTCATGCTACGATAAATAGAATTTTAAGTATGCAAAACAAATCATGGATTGATGATAAAACCCTTAGTCATATAACTAGTAAAAAGCCAGTAATTTAACTGAAGCAGCAATGACAGCATAAATAAATAGATGGTATTGACAGCATGAATAGATGGTATTGACAGCATAAATAGATGGTATTGACAGCATAAATAGATGGTATTGACAGCATAAATAGATGGTATTGACAGCACAAATAGATGGTATATACAGCATAAATAGATGGTATTGACAGCATGAATAGATGGTATTGACAGCATGAATAGATGGTATTGACAGCATAAATAGATGGTATTGACAGCAAGAATAAATGGTACTGAAAGCATGATTAGATGGTACTGAAAGCATGAATAGATGGTACTGACAGCATGAATAGATGGTACTGACAGCATGAATAGATGGTACTGACAGCATTAATACATGGTACTGACAGCATGAATAGATGGTACTGACAGCATGAATAGATGGTACTGACAGCATGAATAGATGGTACTGAAAGCATGAATAGATGGTATTGACAGCATGAATAGATGGTATTGACAGCATGAATAGATGGTATTGACAGCATGAATAGATGGTATTGACAGCATGAATAGATGGTATTGACAGCATGAATAGATGGTATTGACAGCATGAATAGATGGTATTGACAGCATGAATAGATGGTACTGAAAGCATGAATAGATGGTACTGACAGCATGAATAGATGGTACTGACAGCATGATAACGGTACTGACAGCATGAATAGATGGTACTGACAGCATGAATAGATGGTATTGACAGCATGAATAGATGGTACTGACAGCATGAATAGATGGTACTGACAGCATGATTAGATGGTACTGAAAGCATGAATAGATGGTACTGACAGCATGAATAGATGGTATTGACAGCATGAATAGATGGTATTGACAGCATGAATAGATGGTATTGACAGCATGAATAGATGGTACTGACAGCATGAATAGATGGTATTGACAGCATAAATAGATGGTATTGACAGCAAGAATAAATGGTACTGAAAGCATGATTAGATGGTACTGAAAGCATGAATAGATGGTACTGACAGCATGAATAGACGGTACTGACAGCATGAATAGACGGTACTGACAGCATGAATAGATGGTACTGACAGCATTAATAGATGGTACTGACAGCATGAATAGATGGTACTGACAGCATGAATAGATGGTACTGACAGCATGATTAGATGGTACTGAAAGCATGAATAGATGGTATTGACAGCATGAATAGATGGTATTGACAGCATAAATAGATGGTATTGACAGCAAGAATAAATGGTATTGATAGCATTAATAGATGGTACTGACAGCCTGAATCGATGGTACTGACAGCATTAATAGATGGTACTGAAAGCATGAATAGATGGTACTGACAGTATGAATCGATGGTACTGACAGCATGAATCGATGGTACTGACAGCATGAATAGATGGTACTGACAGCATGAGTAGAATGTACTGACAGCATGAGTCGAATGTACTGACAGCATGAGTAGAATGTACTGACAGCATAAATAGAATGTACTGACAGTAAAGCATTCCTAATGAATATCCGAATCGATAACCCCAAGCCCAACCAATAAACCAGTAATCGAAAATGTAAACTTTGCAGGGTTAAATATTTATTGATTTTAACAAATATCGTTTTAATAAGACTAACGAAGTTATTGATGTACTAAATGAAGGCATTTTTTTGCGAAACATAACTTAATTGTCAAAATGAAGTTCCTGATATTAAAAACTTGATAACAAATAATCCGTGGAAGATATCATAAAAGATTACAGGAAGTGACTGTTACAAAATGTTAGGATAGACCCTACCATACCAGATAAAGAATTAGGTATGTAATTATATGAAGGTGATGAAACAGGCGCTTAAAGCACTTCCTAGGTTATTGTATAAAGCGTTGAGAAATATTCTATAGGTAAATATTTTGTAACAATTATATTACGGATTTCTATCACGTTATTATTTATGGTACATAACGTATCGATGACGTTTTGTACTTTTAATAAGTTGATTAAAGTATTACTACTATAATGTATAACAGGTTTTATGCTAATATATCCAAATTCCTAACAATAAAAACGCCAGTCACGATATCCTTTTAACCTCTTACGCGAGACAGTGTGTTTTCTATTGTGTATCATATATCGACAGCCAAGTGGTTTTATATCAACAGGAAAAGGCTGAATTTCACATAGCAACATAAACCCCATAATGGTCCATTACCAGATTATTGGTTGGAGCGTCGAAACGTATTCTTACCACGTCCACGGCTTCCTGTCTCCAGAAGAGGACTATGTTTCTCCATCCATTCGTTCGTTCCCTGGATGTTCTGGGAATCTGTTGCAATATTATTATGTAGGTATTGTGTGTGTAGCTGAATGTGAGTCATATAGTTAATTATAAGTGGACTATATTTTTACTGTGACGGAAGCAAACAAAAAATTAATAAAGAAATGATTATACACATACCCCAACAAACAAAAAATCCTCTCATAGTGGCTAAAAATGCCAAAAATAATTTACTTATAAGAGCCATATTATCGCTAATAAGGGTGCGTTTGGGCACAAATTACAAGGACAATAACCTCAAACCTCCCTTATAATTGCTTTATTGTTATACTTATAGCGGCAAGACAAATTCTATTAAAAAGCTATTCGCCTTAAAATCAGTGTTTGAAATTCTACAACAAGTGTTTTGTTGAGTGATTTTCCACAGTTTGGCGGTGTCAACAATTATTATATAAAGAAAACAAGAACCAGTAGTAATTAATTTCATTTATTTTTGTAGTGTACCTGAATCAGAGAGTATTTTGTGCTTGTTTATGGTGAAATCTGTGTGGGAATTCAAATGTATGATAAAATGAGGTACAAAAAGTGTAATTATATCGACGCGCCCTTGAATTTGAGTAGTTTTACAGTAAAAATGTGAATAATTATTAAATCATGTTTTTTTTATAACGCTTTTACAAGGGTAATAGCATTCTCACATCGGCTATTAGAAATCTATAAGATTATAAGCTCTGTAATGGCATTATTTGTTCCTAATGCTATCGTCATTTTATCTATCGTTAGGGTTCCTTTCATCATTACGTAGTTATGTTATATTATATTATATTCTTCCTCACTGATTTCCTGGTCTTCATTGTCATCTTCCATAAAATCATTTACGGAACCCTCGAGTGATTTGTTAGTATCAGCTTGGTCATTTTGTAGCATTATACTCGTAGCAGTAGAAGTTTCGTAAACTTTTTTAACTTTTCTTCTATAGCCACCACTCCTCTTAAACTTCTTCCAATCTTGGGAATCCATTTTTATGTTATTGTAACAGTAAACACATCTCTGTTGCATTACCAAAATGGCCAGACTATGACAAATCTAGTTAGATATAATATTTTAAATGACCATCTAGAGAATATTACCTTTTTAATGACTATGTAAGTGAATATGGATTGCTTTCATTCTTGTAAAGACCATATAAAGTGCTAAATTTTTTATAACCATGTAATTTGGACTTGTTATGGTTAACCCAACCAAATTATAAGAATAAAGGTTAATATTAGCCAAATATTCTTAAATTGTGCCATTATAAGGAACATAGACATAATGAAAGCGATTTTAAAACAACTATAAGAGATTAGAACTTATACATATAATTTTATAAGAGTAGCTTGTTTGATGGGACATTTACGTGTATTAATTTTATATACTCACAGTCAGCTTGCGGCATGCGCAAAGGTTCGTGTGTGCGTCGCTCTCGTCTCCCAGCTGTAAGAATAAAAACCACATTATTTTCCGTGTAGTCCTGCCTGGGAGATGGCAGCGAGGGATTACTAGGGATAGCAGAGAATCACAGACTTTGTAGCTTGTACTTGTAGTCTCTGAAGTTTTAAATTATAGAACGAGTACAGTAAAAGAAATACAAATATTGTACTTACATTCAGATTGCCGGTCAACACCGCTGCCGGAGGGTTTACCCCGGGATCTGGACGACTGACTGACAAATGGTTGTGGCCAGGCTCTTGTCATCTGACTACCAGAGCCACTGCTACTGCCAGGGAGGCCAGGCCAGGCACTCGACGACAGACTGGGAGAGAGTTGAGGCCAATCATTCGACGGCTGATTGGCAGCGAGTTGTGGCCAGGCACTCGACGCCTGACTGCCAGAGGGTTGAGCCCAGGCCCTCGCCGACGCACTGACGACGGAGCCTGTAGTGCTCGCGTTGTCTTCCAATATGGAGTCGTTAGCAGTTGTATTCAAGGACGATGATGCCGCCTGTGGCAATTGATACCAATGTTTGGGTTAGACTCAACCTAAGTGATACCACAGTCACACAGAATACCGGCTTAAAACATATCTGCGTATTGCGTATACAGCTATTGCTAACTGTAAACTTGCTTATACAGCTGTGTGAGTGAGGTTACCGGCGCAAATCACCTCATGGCCAGCAACGCACTTGTGGCACCTCTGGTGTTGCGGGTATCCATGGGTGGCGCCGGTTACTTCATCATTAACAACCTATAAGTGGCCACTGCTGACCAAATGCCTCTTCTCACACGGAAAGGTTCACATTCGTACTTGCCGTATAAGAAGCGGGCGTCGTCTGAAACCTCCGGGGTCCGGGAGGTTGTACGACCGTCTTTGCTTACCGGCAAGTATTGCATAAAAAAGTAACGGTACTGAAAGATCTCGTGACGACTTTGTTAATTAATGTATTATAAAAGAAATGGAACCCATGTGGGGTACTACTTACCTCATATCCTGCTATTCTAGCTCTAGTACGGGCGGCCCTTTCGTCCTTGAATTTCTGGAGATGAAAAAGATAATACTGTACTAATCTGGTCAGTTTAATTGAAAATAATGGTTTACTCACGTAGTTTCTAACCTTTAATTTTCCCTTTTCTTGTGAGTATACAGTTATTTTCAATTAATTTTGATGTCTCACGATCTAGCTTTTTTACAGTCGTGACTTTGTACTTTTCATGTCATGACAATCAATTTGAATGAATGAATATATTTATTTCTCACTTTATTTTGGATTAGCACGCACTGCTGTTAAACGCCTGCATTTGACCGCAAGTTTGAAATCGCCAAAAAAATATGTTAACATGGCTTTCTATGCAAGCGCACGCATTAGACTTTTTTCAGTCTCAACAATTTGTTACGTTTTGCCGCGCAGTTTTTGTATCCCATAGTAACAGTACTGCGGCGCACGCATGGCGGTTAATCGCATTCGGTTTTTATTGAGCCTCCACTGTGCGAATATCAAATGCAAAAATGTTGCTCGACAGAAATCCATGGCAAAATAAAATAAATTTAATCAAACGCTAGCCGTAGCGCGTGTTCATACTTTTTTGCGTTTTCAGCTATTTTTAACAGCGCGCGTTTAATCGCAGAGCTTGCCAAGCCTTTGAGTAGGTACTTACATTTTACAACAAGAAACATGTCAACTTCAAATATGTTTATTTTTCCCCAATAACTTACTTCAACGTTTATGTCGCTGGGCACATGGTTCCCGGGACGGACCTGGATGCCCGCGACGGGGCAGCACGAGTCGAGCACGGTGTATGCCCAGCGGAACGTGCGAGAGTCCGTGCATTCTATCGGCTTGCCTTTATCAGTATGGTGCTGGGGAAGTGGTGACAATACATGGTTATATTTTACTATAATACATTGTAAGAGTTATCATAGGCACAAAATATTCCATAATGATATTAGATTTGTTTGAGATATATTGGGATAATAGTTGTAGCAAAATAATATCAGAATTTAATTATTATTCACTTATCCTTTAATATTTATATTCATCATCAACAGCCTATAAATGCCCACTGCTGAGCAAAGCCTCTTCTCACACGGAGAAGGTTAGAGCATTAATCACCACGCTTGCTCAATGCGGGTTGGTGATATCAAACTTATAATAAGAAATTATATTTCCTCACGATGTTTTCCTTCACCGTTAGCATTAATCACCACACTTGCACAATGCGGCAACTTACAATTACACCGTTTGTGGTGTCTAAATAATCTTAGAACGTACATATAACTCGGAAAAAGTCACATTGGTACTTGCCGTTGGTAGGTTTCGAACCCGCACCCTCATGCATGAGAACCGGGCGTTTTAAACCTCCGGGCCACCACGACTCCATTTATATTACGGGTATACTCATATTTATATACTCATATTTATATTACGGGTACTCAACTTAGGTTTAAAAACCCCAGCAGTGTCTCTTACGCCCACTTGCCTAGTGAGATAAATCTTTCAATAAATAATAAGTGATAACTTACTTTGCAAGCCAACCCTTGGCTGTACCTGAAGCTGTCTTTTCTTAGTACCGCAAGTGCGAGGGACTCGTGCGGGAACCCTTCATTTTTATGAGTTTTTATGCCGTTGATCAGGTGGAAGAACAACGTGTCCAGGCGGTACAGACGGAAGATATTTTCATCCTCATCTTTGAAACATGGAATACCAAGAATAAAGAAATACCAAGATAACACAACCATACACAGTATGGCATAACAGATTAGTTTGGTAAATGGGGCATGCAAAACATGTAAATAACATGACGGCGGACATGTATTGTTAGAAAAGAGACTAATTTATCGAAAATTTGTATCTTGTGGTGATGAACAAACAAACATACTGGACTACTTACTAGCTTTCAGGCACATTTGTTGCAAGAAGCTCCTACAATGAATCAATTTCTCCGGCATTGTGAACAGGGGCGGTAGAGACTTCGACTGAACGTCCTTCTGCCTGAGGAAGTCGATGATATTCGCGAGGATGTCCAACATGTTACTCGGTGAATCCTCATCCGGCATGTCCAGCCCGAACTCTATACACCCCTCTTTTACATCCGACGCGTATCCAGTCGGAATCATTCCTGTGGGTACATTTACGTAATTTACAAACTAGATCAAGTATCCTTACTAATATTATAAATCGGAAAGTGAGTTTGTTTGTTCCACTTTCACGCCGTAACTACTAAACCGATTGCTTTGAATTTTTGCAGACGTAAAGTTAGAAAAGTAAAGTTAGCCCGGATTAAATAATAGGGTACTTTTTAACCAGGAAAAATTTGATATTCCCGAGGAAAAACAAAAGTATTGGTATAGATGGCGCTGTATGTAATGGTATAAGTCACATAGGCTACTTATTATACTTTTGTGACGCGAGCGAAGCCGCGGGTAAAAGCTAGAACTTAATAATAGGGTAGATGATTAATTTTTATTTTAATGTCCGCCTGGTAGATTATTTAGAAACATTACACACGTATTTTTTTTTCTTACGGAAACGAATAGGTAGTTTCGAAGATATATTAATTTGAAAGGAAAATAATAATGTTTCCGAAAAATTTCTTCGAATAACAACACTAAACTTCCGAATAGAATATTGAACCTCCGACAAAATTACTAAGTTAATGACAACAGACGTTTTAGATAGGTTAGTATTGTAGCAATAAACAGTCATGTAAAATAATCGGAAAGTTAGTATTTTAGGCAGTAGATTTAATATTTTCAGTAAGGACAATTCTTCTTTTCTAGTCGGAGCTTTTATTACTACCCGATTTGAAATAACGCACGACACTTTTGAGTACGATTTATACTCTTAATTTTAGAGTATAGAGCGTGGTAGCTACCTCCTACTCCTAAACTTTGATTCGTTTTATCGAAGTATTGTTTTTTTTTAAACAAAAAAATAAAATATTCGTATCAAATACTTTTTCATTACCTAATTGACGGACTAATTAGATTTTTTATTTTCATACCCTGTCATCATCCCTATTGTACTTCCCAAACCAAATTCTTTTAAATTTACACTGTCATTACTAAAATACTTTTTTCGATACATTTTTCGAATCGATTTCGATACATTCTTGTAACAAGCGAGCCTGATTTTCTAAATTTCTAACTAACCATGACGAATTAAAAGTATTACCTAAGAAGAGAATTTCCCAATTAACTCGTCGAGTACCGGTTTTATACTTATAGACACAATTAAAGAACAATAGGTCGCGGTCACCGGTGACCGCTTGGTGTTTGACAGTTTAAAATGAATGTTTCACTTACCAGGGTTGATCAATTCCGGGTAATAATCTTTGATTCCATTTCGCAGGTTGAATCTCAAAACGGTACTCTCTCCAATCAAATAGAGGCCGTCCTCCCATTTACAATAATAATTTACATCTATCAAATAGAAGTATTCATCTAAAATTTCTGCGAATTAAAAAATATTACATTAAGAATCATCATAACTAGCAGTGGATTAAATCATAATGTAACGCAACTATAATTTCAAGTACCAACTCATATTTTCTCTAATGTACGTGCAGATACTGTTTTGAGTAGCGATCGCGAGGACTCTCTTTAACACAAGAATAACAAAGATAAGGTACAAACTGCCAATAAGCTAAATATTATCTACTGAATACAGCTTTCAATGACATAACATCACGCCTTATATCCCCGAAGTCATTGTCATTGTACAATGTAACATCCACTTTTCACTATTTATGTTTACAGAATCCATGCTACTACTGATTTTTCTTAAAAAACCCAGTAATACTTTGCCCGACACGGGAATCCAATCCCGAAACCCCTTGCCCGGCAGTGGCACTTGCGTCCACTCGGCCACCGAGGCAGTCACTAAATCAAGCAAAAAAACGCTTTCAATAAAACGCGTGATAACAGGGGCGAACCCAAGGACATCATCGAATGACTGCTCCCGCCTGGGTGAGGCGGGAGGGAGTGTCAGACTCATACTGACTAAAAACAACCCCGTTCCTTCTCCTGCACGTCGAGCCGGAGCCCCGGTAACCCGTTCCGCGACACAAATAATTGTGTTCCCCGTGCAGCTTATCATTATACCTCTCAATGGCTCTACATATATATTTTTATACTTAAATGCGCTATGCATTTTTAAAGTATGCTTAAAAAAATATCCCCCCCCCCCCAAATTCCTGGGTTGGCCTTGCGTGATAATATTTTTTTTCTCTTTGGCAAACGAGTTTCCAAAACGAGCATGATAATATAGTTTACATGTATTCTAACCATTGCTGAAGGTTTTCGTTTTTATAATGTTTTTTATGTCCTGTATTTCGTTATCTATGGCATTCTGTTTCTCCTCCTCTTTTTGTGCAATCATTTGCAGCGGGACGCCAGTAGACGCATACTTAGTGTTAGACATGTTGCGCTTTTCCTTTGCTTTCGTAGCTATTTGCTCATACTTGGCTTTTGCTGAAGGTGGTAAACTCTGAACAAACAAAAGAAGTAAATTAATGTTCTCAAAATATGATTTGCTTTTATGTAACTAAAAATAATTGAAAGCGAAAAAGCAAAAAATAAATTAACATACATACATACTTTCATGCGAAGCTTTACAATTATACTACTGTTACGCGTATGGATGCAAAATTCTCACCAATCTATACAGATAAATAAAATTGGAGTGTCTGGTTATAATTTTAAAATAACCACCTATTTACTACATGAATATGATATTTATATACATACGATAAACATACCAAAATATTATTTCTTTTTAATTTTTTCTCTTTATCAGTATAAAGATTAGCCAGTGCTAATCTCTGAAATGGCTGGACCGATTTTGACGGGACTTTTATTGGCAGGTAGCTGATCTACTCAGGAGTAACATAGACTACTTTTATTATGAAAAATTAAATCAAAAAGTTATGTCCTAAAATTCATATTCTACGCGGACGAAGTCACAGGCAACAGCTATTATAAAATATTAATTAAACCCAAACAGAAGGTAGCTACTGCTAACCGTTGAGGAGTTTCCTTAACTATCATACCACTTAATCATCAGGCCCCTACAGACCATCACACTCCATCTAGGTGTAAATAAATACATCAAGCCCAAATCTGGTGTGAATCCTCGAGGAGTTCCCTCGACTATTGCCCGGCTGCATCATCAGTTCGACTCGATCTTTATCAAATTGTAGCGTTTTAAAGTAGGTACTGAATGAAAAAACAACCAAACGCTCCCTCCTAACATTTTTAAAAAATTCTTTCGGTTTCCCTGGGAGCCCATCATCAGATCCTGGCTTGGTGAAAATGGGACCATCTTTCGAACAATAAAAGAATCATCAAAATCGGTTCCAAAACGACAAATTATTTGCCGAACAAATATAAAAAGCATATACGGTCGAATTGAGACACCACTTGTATTCTAACAACTGGGAAAATATTTAGTTTTTATTACGTGGGAATGAAGGAATGAATTTGTAGCATGCAGTATGCAGCACCCTCCCGCCCATAGGTATATGCTCATGCAGCAGACATGCGACATAAAACACACTCGATCGATACGCAACAAATACTTGAACCGCATTCGACATGTTCGCTCCTCTACGGAGCATCCTCAGGAGTTGTTGAGCAAATAAATAAAACATATAATACCAAATTGAACACAAGCTTTTATAAGGTAGCAAATGAGAACATAATTAGTTAAATACAATTTTGAAATTCCCATAGTACCTAATTTTGATTCAATATTAAGGATTAATTGAAATAAATGACATTCCATATCCTATATCCACAATGAAAAAAATTCAACACTAAAATATTGGCAAACATAAAAATGAATTAACAAAAAAATAGAATGTAATGGAATTTAAATTACTTACTAGAAAAAAATAGGGACGTTTGAGACAGGCGAATGACTAAGGGCTATGCACACCACGTTTTTTATCCTGCAGAGCAGTTTGTTGTCGTTTGTATCGATACAAACGCGCGGCACCAGCGCGTTAAACGCGCGCGCCTTCCCTACGGACGGGCTTTCCGCCGCAACGAGAGAAAGGGAAGTGTGAGTCTACGCTAGTAGCAATCGAGCGATTTGGTGCACCGCACGTCATTGGAATAAAAAAATGGAGCTTTTCTACACAGAAATCGCCATCTTGCTACTGTTGACGAGGTTCCGCTTAAAAACGCAAAATGCCAGCGCGATTGTATCGATATACACGCGCGTCTGTATTTGTACAGGTGTGCAAAGGTCTCTACAGGCTGCGTCTGACTTGCGTGCGTATCGCGTCTGTGTCGCTACCATCGAGCGTCGACAGCGCGTTTAAAAAACGTGGTGTGCATAGGCCCTTAAACGTCTAAACCCTTCAAATAAATATGGATAAGTGTAAGAAAAAATGGCCCGGAGTTCCCAGCGGACGGGCAACACCAGGCAATAGCAACAGCGTGGGTTCCAGCCAGTCCAGGGGAGCGAAGAATCACTGGGATTCAGTCAGCTGCTGTAACAATACAATTATTCTCCAACACCACACAATACGTTGGATTATACAATGGACGGACGCTTTCTTCAAATGATAGATAGGAAGAATTAAGCTATTAAACATAAAATGGGATATTTTGGGCCTGTGCAAGGTGAGAAGATCCGAAGAGACATGTATCAAACTACAATCAGGTCATACTTTACAAAGGTCGTGATGATGGGAAAACAGAACACGAAATAGGGATACTGATACATATACGCCTAGAGCAATAAATAAAGACCATAACATCAATATCTGAAATGGGTGTTATACACTATCATACATGTATCCAAAAAACATGTCACTAAATTCCAAACTAGAAAGATACACTAGATTAGTAAAAATTCCTGACGGAGGTTACATGCGGACAGGACTGCTCCTGCCGGAGGTGAACTTTGCTTTCAAAATGAACCTCATCAACAGTCAGAAAGCACGCATTTTTAACCAGTGCCTCCTGCCAGTACTTATCTACTGAGACAAGAGATAGGCGACAACAAAAACTATTCTCCAATGACTAATTGTCACTCAAAGGGCCATGAAACTTAAGCTGGTAGAAGTAACTTTAATAGACCACAGGATTAAGCCTTGACTGCCAATAAAAAACTGTTGAAGGTAAATCCTCCGCTAACGCCAGTCACGGTGACCCCCATGGCGTTTAACGTGTTAATAAATGGCTGAGACAATTACAGAAGTCCAAACCCAAGGCAGTTACTGTAAACTGTTGAAGAGTTCCCTCAAAAATTACACTTCTTCATCATCAGACCCTTAATGGTAGACTTACTCCATTTAGGTGTAAAGTTATTAGGTATTGAATCTACAGTGAAAAACACTGAGACAGAAATGATCCCTAATGTAGAGAAAATTTTTAAAAGTAAGATGGTGTGTGTAAATGGAATGGTGGTATGTAGATATCTTTGAGAGAAAAGTGGGTAGGTGCCTGAAGTTAATACAAATATCTATCAAATATGTAGAATTGTAGATAAAGAGTGATGATGGGTATGACGTTATCAGCTGGAAGTCCTTTGCAAAACTAAAGTGACCTTCTTACAGGGTATGTGACTATTGTATGTAAAATTGTACTGAACGATGTAGTCAAGAACAAAGGTTCTATGTGAACTGTTAGCTGTAACAAAATCCTCAAGCGGTCACCGGTGACAGCAGCGGTCCACTAACTACCTTAAAGACCTTATTTCCGATGTTTAGACACTACTTTTGTATGAACAAATTTAGCTAGGCTATTCTTTAAGATGTCGATTCAAACTCTCGAAGTGAGCTCGATTTATTCTTTGCATTTTCATTGGTGAGATTATTCTCACAACCAATGACAAGGCAGATCACAGGTCATTAGATAAAATGAACCTAGTTACTGTGCCTAAACTCAATATGTTTACTAGTAGCAAGTCCAAGGTTTCATCAGCCACCTTCCTATTTCATTGTCAAACCAGCTCACTACCACAATATTGTAGTGAACTGATTGGTGATATGTCAAAGAAGGGCCAAATTAAAAGTATGCCCTAAACCGATGAGCATGCATGATGACTGTAGAGGAAGCGAAAGGGGTATGTAGAATTGAAGCAATTGGTGTTCCAGTCTCTGCCTACCCCCATGGCAAACAGGTGTGAGGGTATGTATATATGTAGTTATTCAACATAATTAAAATGCGTTAAATAGCTTCATCTAAGCATCTTAGTTCAAGCCTCTAGACATAAAACCATCATGAAATCATTGTGTTAGAATGTGAAAGAAAGCTAAGTTAACAAACACTAGCGTTTATGAGTTTTTGTAAAAATAAAGCTGTTTGCACAAGTAGATTATGTAGGCTGCAGACTAAGTGAATGTTATGAATAGGAGGCACTCCACATTATATACCCACACAGAACAAAGGGTGTTTGGATGTGATATGAAACTGGTAAGTATTGATAAAGGTTATTGGTGTCTTTGTAATGCACAAAAAATACTTAATAATTCAGAAAGACATGTTTTTTTTTCTTATAAGAATTAGATAGGTACTAGTTTCTAAATATGTCTAATAAGAATCTACTTAGCGGATATAAATGTGGATAATATATGTTCTTACCCTCCATTCCGGATCGGCAACTGGGACGACCTCACTTAAGGCCTGATACTCGACGCCTTTCAGCCTTTGCTGTTCTTTGAAATCTAGCATGAAGTAATAAAAACCGCTATTTGGCAATTTTTTGGGCATTATTGCATATTTTGACGTTATACTAAACCGTATTTAAACTTCTTGCCAAAGAAGTACTTCTAGAACTAGAAATTCTTCTAAAAATACGGACTGATAAAGAGATTAAATAATTACAAGTACCTACAATGAGCAGGATAGTGCGCAGGTGCAGAATCCTGGATCAATAACTTATTGCTCTACTCCTCTTCTCCTTCACTGTTACCTATAGGTGCAGTCTATGCACTCGCAAGGCGCAACTCAAAATAATTTCACAAAACGTTTTTTTTTTCTAGCCGGTTACGCCAATGACTAAAGAAATAAGAAGACACGAACTGTGTAGGGTGTACGTACTTAGCGCGCCGACATAGACTATACAATATACACTGAGACGTGCCAAAATGGAAATAAACATGGCGTAATGGCTTATGGCGTACTGGCGTACTGACGTACAGTCCGATCACAGTTATTTAAATTTTTGACTCTGAGTACTCTGACAGTCGTCATTATAGTACATCTTTTCTTTCTGTATGTAGGTGGAATTTTAAAATGTTATCCGCTTAAAATATTTTACTCAATTTTTGTGGTGTTTCTTCTCTCTTTTTTTAATGTTCGGATTTTTTTAAGGGGTGAACATCAACTTATGACTTCTCCCGCCTGGGTGAGGCGGGAGGGAGTGTCAGCTATTACTGACTAAGAACCACGCCGTTCCTTCTGCTCTTCGAACCGGACGCTGCCTCATGCGCCCCTCCCCCTTCAGTCATGCTAGCTAAGCATGACTGCTTCGCAAAAGGAGGAGACTGCACCCCAGTGCCCCTCGCTCCGCATCATGACTCTAACTAGGGCCGGATACGAGAGGTCGCCGTCGCCGATCACATCCCTGAGGGCACGGCGGTGCTCAGTCCACGCGGGCATTCCCCTACCGTGTGTTTCACCGTGTACTCAGGGTGGTCCTCGCAGTGATGACACCCGGGCGTTTCCTCCCGCCTCATCAGACACAGGTAGCTCCGAAACTCCCATGTCCGGTGAGGACCTGCGTCAGGCGGTAGGTGAGGACGCCGTAGCGTCTGTCAAAGTGTCAAGCCACTCCTCAAAGAGGGTCTTACCGCTGCAATGGCAGTGAGCCCAGCCCTCGGTTGTTCGCTGCATCAGGTTCGGCGCCCACACAGGGGCGCCGTAGAGGGCCATAAACCGCATGACCCCGGCGTATAACCTCCGGCAGGAGACGTTTGGCCCCCCGAAGTTGGGTAGGAGGCGCTTAAGCGCCGCCGCCATAAGCTGAATACGGCAACATAAAACTAAGGTTTGCCAACTTAACACCTAAAAGTAAAATAACTGTGAAAGGACTATAGGCTCCGCCCTCAACGCTTATAAGTAGTTTAAAAACTGTCAAACACTAAGCGGTCACCGGTGACCGCAACCTATTGTTCTTTAATTGTGTCTATAAATACGGTACTCGACGAGTTAAAAGCAAAGAATTATTTTACCGTTACATTACTTAACAAACAATATTACTAAGTTGGTAGGTCAACTTTTCTGAGTACCGCATTTCTAAACCAAGTAGAGGTATTATATGAAACTACTTTAATTACAATTTCTGAAACGGTTTTATTTTTTTTTCGAATAGTTTCACAGTTTAAATTATTAAAAACCCCCAAAGTGTGAGCTCGACTGGCTCTTGTTAAGTTTTTGTTATAAATTGCAAATAAAACAAAATTGTTAAGACTAAAAATGTCTTTATTCATTTCTAAATAATACAGTAAATATTGAAGCTACATGAACCACAATTAATTTATGTTACCTTTTCTGAAGTACTTGTATATATCTACTGAAGAAAGAGCTATTTGCTTTGATTTTACCTACAGTGATATGATAAAAGAGAACAGAATATATATATTGTCTCTTCGATTCATAATAGCATGGTATTTCTGTAGCTACGTATTTGTATAGGACGTTAGGCAAGTCCTAAGATTCTTAAGTCAATGGGTTGGTCCTTATGACATTAATGACATTGACATTATGATGGCATGATGACATAATGCGGTTCGCCATGCATGCAGCATAGTTGGACCCAAAGCTTTATATTATCATATAGATTCCGAATGATTGTCTATGGGTGGAATTTAATATGTATCTCGATAGTAAAGTTTAAGTAGTTTTTTTTTTAAGGGGGTTTCCCCCCTCATCGAATGACTGCTCCCGCCTGGGTGAGGCGGAAGGGAGTGTCAGACTCTTATTGACTAAAAACCACCCCGTTCCTTCTCCTGCACGTCGAGCCCGAGCCCCGGTTACCCGTTAGGTTCTCCGCGACTCCGAATTGGCATCGGCCCTATTGGGCCCCATCTGTGGTGGTCTGATGGCTCTTTGAGGCGCGCGCGGAACGCGACGCGCCGTACGCTCGGGTCTGTTTCTGGTCGGACGGGGAGCCACCCATGCTCGCCGTCCGCAGTCCCGCGCTTACGGTGGCCGGAGATCATCCCGCGATCCCCGACGCCCGGTGTGTCCTTCGCGATGGCTGGGTTGCGAGGAGGCAGCGCTTCGCTGCCTCACGCGTCCCGCCTCCTCCTTAGCTAGCATGACTGCTTCGCAAAAGGAGGAGACGGTATCCCAGTCCCCCTCGCTCCGCATCATGGCCTGCACTAGACCCGGACGCGAGAGGTCGCCATCGCCGATCACTTCCCTGAGGGCACGGCGGTGCTCAGCCCACGCAGGGCATTCGGCTACAGTGTGTTCCACCGTGTCCTCAGGGTGGTGCTCGCAGTGATGACACCCGGGCGTTTCCTCCCGCCCCATTAGACACAGGAACCTCCCGAAACTTCCATGTCCGCTGAGGACCTGCGTCAGGCGGTAGGTGAGGACGCCGTAGCGTCTCTCAAGCCACTCCTCAAAGAGGGGACTTACCGCTGCAATGGCAGCGAGCCCAGAATTAACTAGTGTGCCCTTTTTACTTAAATCTCGTCTTTTTGCCACTTATCCAAATATCGTTCGTAACCAATGTATTATATTAGATATGTTTAAATGTCACATTTAGAATATTGTGACCCCAGACATTATTATACGAATACCGAAATTCCCACAGGAAACAAATTTCAGGTGAACAAAGTTGCAGGCGGTAGCTATAGTCCATTCACATTTGCAAAAGAGAAAAGCCGTTCATAAAAGTATAGTTTGTCTATTTAAGAATGACGACGAATGTTTTAAGAACTAACAACAATTAAACTGTGACAACACTCAATGAAAGTCCGTTGAAAGTCATTAGCTGTGTGTGATCGAGTTAGATTTGCCAATCGTGTTTTGGTAAAAAGGTATAGGATTAGAATTTACATGAATAAAACTTAGAAGAAGTTTATTAAAAATGTAAAAGAACAATTCGGGGTGAAGCTCGACTGATTACATTTCGAGTATAAAGTGATTTTAAATAGAACCTGAAGCTGTACAAATTCTATTAAATTAAGATTATGTTTTCACTCGACTTCGAACAGCAACTATGATGGGTAGGAATAATACGATTCCTACCCGTCATAGCTACTGTGTATATTTTGTCTACCAGAAGCGAGAAACCTAAAGTAGGTTTCTCACTTCTGCGATATATAAGCGATTTTATGTCTAAAATAAGTTTACATTGTAAATATTGTTTACATTGCAGCTTAGTTTAGGTTATGCACTTAGAGATACTACGTATAGGTTATGCCTTTATTGATATCCATCATTCTTTGTCCTTGTTCTGACAAGCATCATTCTGTCATCCTAATAATGGCGTCTCGTTCTTTTGCCACAGCCACATTGCTCTACACATAGACAAATAGCCAGTTTTACCGTGCCGCCATATTGATATGTTTTTACCTACAACTAGGTTAATCTCGTTATAACAGAAAATATGAATTGTTTATACCATTAAATGTTTAAATAATCTAAAATAAATGATGAAGTGAAATGCGTATCGATGTGACAGCAATAGCTATAAGAAAATACCTATTATAACCTTTTAATGGTAGGATTTTATTTACGTTGTTGTAGACTAAAACAAATTGTCGTTTTTTTTAAATAAATCAACTGTTTTGATGTTTAATCGTTTATAACGAAGCCTTATCAACTATCACGCTATTTGCCCATAAGTTTACTCAGAATGTACAAATAAAATCAACTTAATTTTTCAATTTCGACAGTTCAAGTACTTGTAGAATTAATAGAGGATGAATTTAGTATTTTGAAAGGTTAAACTAATGAATATATTATTTTCATGTTGAGTACTACTTAGTTAGTATTATAGTTGTTACATTATGTACCACTATGTATCAATTTTATGACAATTATCATCAAATAATATCATCATATACGTGAAATGCTTAGGAATGTACAACAAAATTTAACAGGACAGGACAAGGAAACAACTTATCTTGGGAGTCTTATGTACTTATTGAGGGGAGGGCGATGATTATTATCTGATATTCTTAATAATAACAAGTGCCTTCATATGTTTTATTTAAAAAAAATATAGTGAAAATGGATATTTATTCAGTATTTATAAATATGTGTGTTTCTGGCTTCACAAATTTTAGCTAATGTTTGGTCTGCTTATCTATTTTAAGTCTGTGCTCTGTCAACCGTATTGCCTGTCCATTGGGCTTCTTACATCTGTGGTACTTGCATAGAGATGTCAATGCTTGCATATAGGTTGCATCATAGACAACTAGACAAGGGATTGTCTCTCACTGACGTGACAGATTCTCTTTTTTTCAGTCTGTGTCGTGTCATTGGGATGGTGCTTGAGTGTTATTATAGTGGTGTGAATTTAAAAATAATTTTATCGTACTAAATCAAATCATACTTTTCTCAATAAAAGTTATTAAGTTTTTAAATAGATCTTGTGTGGATATTATCACTCGTTGATAAAAAACCAGTCGCTGCTATTAAACAGGTATGTTTATAAGTTCATATTTTGGAAATGGAAATGTTTCTTACGACTCTTCTTGTTTTAATCCGTTACAGACGTTCGCTGTTTTTTTAATATTTGTTTTATATGG